ATTCACACACAACACACACACACGCACACACACACACACACACACGCACACACACAAGCAAGGTCACAATGTGTATTACTATATAATGTAGATACACAAACACGATGATGTATGCCTGTGTAAAACAGAATACCAGTAAGTAGAATGTGTTGGGCACAGAGATGTTCTGAGTGAATGACTGTGCGCAAGAAAGAGAGAGAGAAAGAGAGAGAGAGAGAGAGAGAGAGAGAGAGAGAGAGAGAGAGAGAGAGAGAGAGAGAGAGAGAGAGAGGGAGACAGTTCCTGGACACGTTTCTGGTCTTGTTACCCGTCTAGTCTTGATTTGTCTTATTAGTTCATAGTGATAGTAACACAGAAGCAATCACTGCAGGCTGACCAATAGCTTGTTCGAACGTAGTTGTATTGTAATGGCATAACTTATTTTTCTAATGCTGCTGTGCTTATGAGTCTGTGCAAGACTGGCGCATATGTTTTCTTTGGTTCTTGGGTCGGAAGAGGTTGGTTCCTTCCTTTAAAGTTACAAGAGTTTTATTGTTTTGCTTTCTTTTTCGGTGCCGTTACCTTTCTTCTGTTACGAGGACGTAACATGTTCGTAGGCGGGGAAGATGTCGTGTCTGTGTGTTGCTACAATGTCATTATCTGTATTGTATTCCGTCTGCTCAAGTGTTTGCCGTGGCGGCGATGTGTCTCGTCGATCAATAGCGTTGTGAAATCTCTCACCATTCATGCTTTGCTGGCTGCTCGCTTCGCTCCGTGCACGCTACTAGTACTCGTAGTATATAGCTCGATGCTTTGCGTCGATCGGTTGTTGTTATTGCTTCTCTGCTGTTTGAGCTTGGAACTTGGTCCTAGAGTGAAGCCTCGGTCTTCCTGTGTCGTGAGGGTGAAGAATGGGTATCTGGACTCCTGGTATATTTCCATAAAGAACCTGGAATTGTAGAATCCTGAGAGTATGTCTGGCCCCCTCCCCGGTCATGACACCTGCAAGTAGTGCACCATGTACCCTGGTTACTTCAAGCTCTCTTGCGTGATCTGGTCAAGAAATGCAGTGGTGGTACTAGTACTTCTGTAGAGCCCACTAGCACTGTACTCAGCTTGAGCAGCATACAGTGCTCATCGAGCAATCAGCTTCACCAGCTGCAATCCGTTCCGCTGTTGCATCATACTCCGAAGCCGTCGTTCGTGCTGCCAACAGCGCGCAAAGCAAAGCTGTCATTGACGCCAGCGGTGTTTTCGTTGACTCAGTGCTAAATCTCCACCACGTTCCTGCCACACACATCAGTATGCTTCCTGCCCAAGGTACTGATCGACTGGAGAGTATGCGAGATTCTGCATTACTGAGCGATTTCCAATCACGTGTAGACGCGAGTAAGAGCGAAATCAGCAAGCTTGCTGCTGCCACATCAGTGTTGTCCGCTGGATTGCTGCTGCCACAGCAGTGTTGTCCGCTGGATCCAGTCAGCTGAATGCCTCGCTGGTTTTGTCAGCAAGGTGCAGAAAAAGTCATCGGCACACATCCACTGTGCTATTTAGCGTGCTAGCACAGCACTGCTCTTCTTCACCATTCGCCAACTTCTACCGAGAGATCTGCAGGATGCTTGTGGACAATGAGAACATGGTGAGTGACAATTTCGTTTGAAATTTCGATAATTGTTCGGAGTTTCTCATATCAGTTTTCTGGAGTTGGTGCTTGAAAACAGGAGATAACTGCCTTTCGGATAATGACAGGATTATTTAAGATGGATGTTTTCACGTTTAATTTTGTAATGATTTCCCCAAGCTAGACAGAAGGATAGTATAATTATGCTTCCATGCTTTGTTCTCCCGAGGAATTTTTGCTTTCCATGCTACTTTTCCATTTTTCTTGTGTTTATAATGTGTATGTGTGCGTGTGTGTGTGTATAATGTGTGCGTGTGTACGTGTGTACGTGTGTGTGTGTGTGTGTGTGTGTGTGTGTGTGCGCGCGCGTGTGTGTGTATGTATAATGTGTGTGTGTGTGTGTATGTGCGTGTGTTTGTGTGTATGTGCGTGCATATCTGTGTTTTTACAGCTCTTGAACGCATTTCCTGACATCATCACCTATGAGCAACGGCGTTTCAACCAGGAAGAGCGTCTTCGTTGTCAGATTGAGAGTGAGCTTATGTATCATGTACCGTAAAGTACCGTTGATCCGCCCCCTCTCGAATTCCCACCCCCTGTCGATTTTCTACCTGTGAAGTGATTTCGCCGTATACAACGAAATACGATGTTGAACCGACGCTTGCACTGCTGTACACAAAACATGCCCATCCAGGATGAAAATGTGCACAATTCAGCACATCGAGTCTGATCCTCCACGTTGTTGTACATCATACTGCACTTGACAGCCTTGATCTAATTCCCGCCCCCTGCCGAAAACCCAGCTGGGAAGCAACATGGCGTGGGGGGGGGGGGGGGGGGGGGCGGATCAACGGTACTTTACGGTATATTAATTTTGTCTACAATCCATTCAGGAGCTGAATATCTCTGCCTTTTTTCAAACCCAATTTACGCCGATAGAGTTGATTCATATGGTGGTAAAGACACACCTGGCAGTATAGCGGCAAAAACATGCCTGCCCACACACGCTCTCTAGGCTGCACAGTTATTCTGGCACAGAGCTCTCCTTCTCACCACCATCAGTACCAAGAAGAAGATTGCCAGATGAGTCCAGCGTGGACAACATGTACGCGACAATCGACCTTTGCCGTTGCTGTGTCATCTTCTATGAGCCATGCGGTACCTGATGTACCACACCTGCTATGTTGGATACCGCTAACCATGCATCGACTAGGCGCCAGGCACGAACCGCTGGTGGTGGTGGTGAGAAGGAGAGCTCTGTGTTGTTTTCTTTATTTGAATTCGCTAAAACCAAACGGACAGAACTGTCCAGTGACAAGGGAGCGAAGTGTGTGTCAGAATAACTTTGCAGCCTGGAGAGTGTGCGTGGACAGGCGCGTATTTACCACCATTTGAATCGACCATAAGTACAGCTGCAGCGGTGTCTTCAACTTCATTCCCCGATATAGTCTCAGAACAAAATCACTTTGACGAAATTTCGACTTTTAAAAGATGGTTTTTGTATCCACATTGTAGCCAATACCCAACCTGGCTGAACTCAGCAAAATCCCGTTGAAAATACAATCCATCATGGTCCATGGTTTGGAAGAAGCCTGTCATCACCATATCTGGTAGTGTGATCAATCCTGCATGACCGAAACAATAGCGAAGAAGTTGAAACTTCCCCACCGATTTATTTGCAAAAGCTGAATGTGATACGGTTTTCTGGATGGTGTTTAGTTTGACTGTAATGTGTATTGATATGAAACAATGGAGAATACATGTACAGTGGAGATCGGACATAACGACCTTTCATATACCGACAGATTGAGTTTAGCGACACAATTCTGTTGCCCAAGTCATTTAGTAAGTCCTTTGTGAAGATCGGGTTTAGTGACAGATCGAATATAGTGACATTTTGTTCTCTCCCGAAGGAGTGTCGTTATATCCAATCTCCACTGTACTTGCAGAAAAGAAAAGGACCAAGGAACTACATTATTATTATTAGCATTTTCGCATCATCGTCAATCAAATGATTGATGATTTCGCTTATGCTGAGTGGAACTACAAGTTACATTATAATGTCCACTAACACCACCAGTTACTAAACAATCAGCTCATGCTATCTTTTTCTTTTCTATACATTTACCCTTGGCTCTCCATCCGAGTCCATACATGTACTTGCATGCATGTTTATACACAGTCTATAGTGTGATAATGTCAGTGTTCCTATTCTAGGGTAGACTCGGTTGGAGAGCCAAAGGTTGATTTATAATTCCTGTTCTAGTCCATGATTTCCGCACTTCCAGCGTTTGTCTTGTACACACACCATCTATTTGTATGTGTTACGTTTGTCTACTTCAGTATACCTATGTCTTCTAACAGACATTCCATTGGCGGATGGTAGCTTCTCGACTGAAAACAAGAAGTCCTTCCTGGGCCTGGATCCCTAGTGAGTATAATATTTCTTAATTTAAGTTGGTTATCTTTGTCATAGTAGAGAGGTTCTGCATTCTGAATTTCCGAATAATTTTCGTAAACTGGGTACGAGAGTCGAAGAGCGAGTCGAACTTTCGACTCGAAAGTCATCCAGTTGTCGAAACTTATTTTCGGCAAGTAAACTACCAGTTCAAGTGCACGTGCCGAAAAGTCGCCTTTTTGTTCTCTGATTTTTGGCAGTTCTGAATATGTTTTCCTCCTCAACATCCTTCCTCGCTCTATTACTAGTAGCCCTTCTGGCAGTTCTCCAGGGTCTGGGGCGAAGCAAATTCGCTTTGACCTCACAATGGATCTGCTCATGCTGAGGCAAGTTCGTGCCACGGAGAATACTTTTGTCCGTGGTTCCCCAGCTTTCGACGAGGTGGCGGCGGCCATGCAGAGCCTTGGTGACTCTCGTTTCAATGGCTTGACCGTACCTGTTTGCTCCTAGAGCAACACTCGAAAGGCGATAAATTTATTATAATTTGAACATGCGGCCTCCAAGCGCTGGCGCCGTTCTGTTGCCTGGCAACAACTAGGAAAAAGTCGAAGGCCATATTTCGGGTTGCAAAACGTCGCTGCAGTCGAAAAAATTCCAACCAACCAACGGAAAACACCAGTCGAAAAAAGTTCCGAAATTCGGAATGCAGAACCTCTCTAGTGATGAATGGATCGTAGGCTATTTGTTGCGGAAATTTCTCTCAAGAATTCCACTGTACTCTGCAGTACCTAAGAAGTGTACATTGTATTCTGCTATCACATAATGCTACTATGGCTAATCACCATACATTAGACGGTCTGTATTTATGACAATGGTAGACATAGATAGATAGAGGGGGGGGGGGGGGGGGGGGAGTAGGAGAAGGAAGAGAGACTCCTGTGCTACATCCTCCCAAACCTAACAAGGAATCACAGGATTAACAGTACATACCACGGAGTCAAAGTCAACGGACATTATTCCAGCATTACACCCATGCAAGACACCATGGGCCGTTGGAGCAGTGGAAACTGCAAGCAATACACACAACAAAAGTAGAATCCATAGTAGTTATGACCCGGTGAACACTGAACATAGACTTTGGCGCACATGCATTTAGTTCATTGAAAACACAAACCAAAACAATGGTGAGTGAGGGATTGCCAGTATACAGACAAACATTAGCATTTAGTGGCAGCTTTTCCATGCGATAAAGTACCAGCGCAGGTCGGGCAAGAAGATTGGCTGCTAGTACATGCTGCACAGCTAGACAGCTACATGTAGACAGACAGAGAGATCACCAGCTACACCTGACCACACATGCATGGATGGGGGAGGCAGAGGAGAGCAGTGCAGAGGAGAAGAGTCCAAGCTGGTAGACAGGAGGTAACACTTGGCATAACAACTTACAGTGACGCATCGACCAAAGCTTCACAGTACGATCTGATCCAGCAGTGGCGAAGAAGTTGCCATTGCAACTAAACCGAATAGCAGCAACTTCACCCTCATGAGCATCCTACACAACAGCACAAAACCCAAATCAGACATTATCATGTTCTCCACTCTACTGTAAACTTGCATATCAAAAGTACTCCGAATACAGACAATACAGTCAGGTATGATGGTGATGTTGTGTGGTGCATGATAAGGACATACCCATTTGTACGTTGACTTGCTAGGGAGACACGCACTGACACACATGGGCATGCCGGTAACGTCCTCTACACCTTTTGCATCCTGCCCGGTGGCAAGCTGTGCAGCCGAGCTGTTGGAGGCGTTGAAGAAATTACTGACACGCCTGCAAGCACATACACACAGGAACACGCAGCACACGACCACATGGCGACACTCTTCAATAACGGAAAAGACAATGTATGGCTGGTTGAGAGGATTGGTATTAACGTCGTGGTAGTTGATGATGATTCACCCACCATAGCATGACTACTAATCCTCACAGCTGGGCCAGTGGCCATACACATCAAGAGGGCATCAGTTATGTTCTGCTCTACGTTACGGGAATGCGACGTGAAGAATCCCGGGAACTCTCTTCACGTGCCCGTAAAGTAAATAAAACCCGTTCTGCTCTACGTCGGTCACATAGAGAAATCACGTGGAATGGGTACTGAGAATTTCCTCTTCCAAATTTGGCAGTTTTCTGCCTGCATTCGAATGATACCCAGCAGATTCGTACGCATTTTGTTTCCATGTGGCACAACATAGAGAGCCTCATGTACATTGTACGCGTAGAAATCTGGACTCAAAACACGCGAAGCCGTAGACTCTAACCCATACATCTGCTCTCTACGTGATTTCTCTACATTTCACGTATATAGGAGAACCTCACTAATATGCCTATCGAGGGGTTCATTTGATTGAAAGAACAGCACTACTACTAGTATGTACAAAGACAAGTAGGGCTTGATGAGGAGAGAAACGATATGATGCTAAGACCAGGGGAAGTCTGGTACGATGATAGTTCAGTACAACTGACAATGGTGACCTACTCCATGAAGCTGGAAGAGGAGCGCGGTTGATCAGGGCCTGGTGATGCCTGCGCTTGCTCAGGGACATCCGCGACAGCACCTCGGATTGACTCCTCGATGGACGGCGATGTCCGCAGTTTCCTGCCAAACGCAAAAAGCATAGAGCACAGTGCAGTGGTCAAGAGTGCAGTCTGTCATGGTCGTACTACAACACTGGTCCTTCAGTGTACATGTATGCTCCTTCTGTTGCAATAAGAATATACATCATCCTGATGGTGTAATACAAGCCAAGCAGGCAGGCAGGCAGGCGGGCAGGCATGCGCTTCGATCTCAGTTCTTCAAGCAGCACGAGTAGCCGCATGTGACTAATATAGCAACAATACTGTAGGACATGCTGCTGCTACTCAGACAATCACACTCGTCGCCATCAAGGGTCAGTGTTGCTGGCACTGGTCTATACCTTACTTTCTCTGCTCGCGCTGCTCCTCATTGCCAGCATTGACCATGTCAGCCGTCTTCTCTTTCAGACGCATCCACCGATCAACCTACATGCGCAAACAGATGAAAGACAATAAGAGTCAAGCGAGTGAACAGTTTACCATGATGATAAAGTCTGACTGACAGGACTATTCAACAAGGAACCAGGTCATTAGAAAATTTACTTTTCGGGGTCATATGCATGCATTTATATTAACTCTCCAAAAAAATTAAGGCTGAGCAGAAGCCAAGGTGGAGTAGAAGCAAGTCCTTGTCATTCTTGGGTTAAACTTCTACCTCAAAGTAAATTTGGTCAAAAGCACCACTTCATTGATCACCATTCCATTTTCATTTTCCATTGCATGCCTGCACAAAAAATGAAGAAGTAACCCTATGCACTTACGAGCGTAGGTTGTAAAATAAAAAAAATAAAAAAAGTTTGATAAAGCTAGGGGTGCTGTATGGGAGCTTATCACTCTCTTAGTATTGACTCCCATTGATTTTTGCCATACCTAAGCAGTCAAATATTCCTGCATATTTCACTCCTTAGGGCTATATTGACTGCTTATATTTGACTGCTTAGGGGTTGCACAGTTAAACGGTGCCTAGTGCAGCATTGTCACTGCATGAGTAGGTGGTGGTGCAACGGTTGTGCAATCATAAAACCGGGATTCATGAGGTTATCGTTCTGGAATTTGAAATACGGACTGTTTGTCGTGATAAATCTAATATTGACTTCGTACTTGGTCAGTATAGGAAATAAAAATTCACCTCGGTCTTTTACTTCCTATATTGACCTCGTACTCAGTCAATATTAGATACATAAAGCTGCACATAGTGCCTAAGAAACAAACTAGATTGATAAGACATGAGCACCTCAAACACCCATATAATTATGAGCTAATGGAGGAGTCGCACATGTCGTGAACTTAAGCTCAGCACACATTACTCAGCACACCCAACACGATATGTTCAGCACACAGTAGATGGTGTTCAGCACACCCAACACGATATGTTCAGCACACAGCAGATGGTGTTCAGCACACACAACAGGAGATGTTCGCAACTAAGCCAACTTACAAGGTCGGAATTCTCTCGTTGATACCGTTTAGATAGCTCTTCGACAGAGTGATAGGCTAGCTGTAGAGCTTGTTGCTCATCTTTCAATACCTTCCATCAAGAACAAAGCAATGAAAGAAAGAAAAAAATACAGACACAGACACCGACACACAGACAGACACACACATACACACACACACACACACATACAGACACAATCCACTGTGGTGTCAGATATCACCTAATGCATGAACCATGTAGCTGTTTCGAAAATGCACGCATTTCACAGACAAGACAAGACAGTCCACTGAAGCAGTTCCACCTATCTCGACACACGACGACGGACTTTGATGAAGCTCACCTCATTGGCTTTCTCCATGTCGCGCAAGGCACGTTTGAGCCGCTCCATTTGATGATCCGCCATTGTCTTTGCTTGCAATGCATCTTGAAGCCTGGGCAGGTTAACACGAAATACGAGGCACTAGTATAATAAATGTGCTCATCACTGATCACACAGCAGCTTGAAAGGGGAAGTTCACCCTAGAACGAAACTTCACAACCTGTAGCGGAAAATGCACTGATTCCAATGGTGAAAGTCCCAGGTTGATCGGAGCAGCCGTTCCCGAGTTATACCAGCTTGAAGTTTGCACTGAATTTGGTGACATCATGATGACATCTGGGGTTGGAATCTACTTCTCAATACGTTTTGCAATGGTATACCTGGCCTAATTTTGTAAAACCCAGCCAAATTTGTAACTACCTATCCTTTGACTTTTCCAGCCACAAGAAAGTGGCAAGGAAGAATTACATGGGTCAATGCAGGATGTGCAGTCCAGTTCGCCATATCTACCTACCACTACACGCGTGGAACACAGACAAATTCGGGTGCCGGTTAGGGGAGGGAAATGTTAATTACATGGGTCAATGCAGGATGTGCAGTCCAGTTCGCCATATCTACCTACCACTACACGCGTGGAACACAGACAAATTCGGGTGCCGGTTAGGGCAGGGAAATGTTGACTCACGCCGAATCCTTTTTCGCCAGATCCAGGTCCTTAGTTTGCATGGATTGGCTCAGTTCCACCACCTTCTGTGCATTCTGCAAGCAAGATGATGAAAGCAGATACCGTACAGACAGACCTGCTAACATTGCCACAGGACAGCAGCAGTGGACTGGGATGCCAGAGTTAACAAAGTGTCAAGAAAGCAGCAATATAGCATGCACAGACAAACACAAGCACGCACGTGCACACAGGCAGACAGGCACACACACAGACACACAGAGAGGCAGAGACACACACACGTGCATGTACATGTATCTACAGATAGTATCTCTACATTGCACACTAGATCGTACATCTCCTTTCCGCCGATGCAGCTCGGTTAGTTCCTCTTGCAAATTGAACAACTTCTTCTCTAGCGCCGCTACTTTCTCACTGCTACCAGAATCCCCACTGCACACAGCACATCATAACAAACATACAGATACAAGTGAAGTCATCACCTGGACATGACCACAGTGAAATCCGAAATTCAGGTACAGCCAGCCTTGCGAATAATGGCCCTTGATCGGACACGACATACGTGTTGTTATTAGCGAGGTTGAACGTATGCTACCGGACATTGGACATCATTGAAGAGTAAATTTGCCATTTCAGCAATGAGATACAGCACTATGGCGGACACTAGGTCCTACACAAACTGAAGTATTTCAACGCAAAAATCTCTGGTCACCAAGGTAACCGATATGGAAACTTACGCTCCAACTGGGCCGGATGCTTTCAAGTCCAAGTTTTCCTGAAAGTGGTCACAGAGGCAAAGAACAGCACCAAACTCATACTCGAATACACACACACACATACACACACACCATTGGACGCCTATCGCCGGAGGCGATGATAGCGATGCTACAACAGAAGCCATAGCAGCTTGTGCTGGGATTGCACCATTCAACTGCTTGCAAGGCTGAAGAATTGACCGCCACTATTCAGCCTGATCTACACCACACAGCTATGAAGTGGCTTTTTCTGGCCAGTGAATCCCTACTTTTTGGTCTTTTTATTATTATTTTTTTCCGCACACACATCACACCACATACTCCGGCATGCACTGGCTGTTGGTAACCACCCAGGAGAATGAAAGAAAAGTCAGGAAGAGTCTGAGAAAGAGAAGAAAGATATGTGTGACCATAATCGTCGGGAATCGAACCCGCAACCTATCGATTGGAAATCGCTGCACATACCACTGCACCATATGGGACACACACATACACACACACACACACTGTGGTGTGACACACTGCATGGGATAGTGTTGTTCTCTTCATCCCAAAAACCACCAATAGGGCTTGAAATTGAAGACGTCAGAAGTCAACAAATAAGCGAACAATTTCCTCGGAGACAAGTCACCCTGATGTGAAGTAAAACCACCTAAATGGATCCATACAAAAACTGGATCCTAGTGGATCCAAAAGTTGGAGATGCCATGACTCCTGGTAGGCTGTGACGTAGCACTTTCAAGCTCTATACCTGGCGCGCACTTTTAAGCATCATAAAACAAGTTATGTCTACGGGAAGAGCATAGGGGAATAATTGCAACGGCTGTCAACATGTTGTCTCTCTATACCGTAGAATCCCGCGGATAAGCCCACCCGCGTACAAGCCCATGCCTGCGCATAAGCCCAGGTTTGTTCGAACATCACACAGCTTCATCGTACAAGCCCATGGGCCTAGGTCATAAATTATGGACTATTGGCCATACCATGTACATGTACGTAGTCATGCACATTATAGTTTTTTCGTACATTTCAGCACAACCATCGGTTGTTTTTGTTTGCACAGTGGTTTTCAGCAATGTACTTCACACTTCCTTGATACTTTTCAATAGCACAACTTGGTGTCGGCGTATAAGCCCATGCCCGCGTATAAGCCCATGTTCTCGTATAAGCCCACCGAAATGTCCTTGTGAAACAGATAAGCCCATGGGCTTATCCGTGGGATTCTACGGTATAGTAAACTGTAAGATTTCTACTACTATCCAGTGCAGCGCTGGTTGTGCAATAATTGTGAGTGCAAAGATCAGCAAAACCTACTAAATCGTGCTCATTCCCTTGGTACACTATCAACTAATTTACAAGCAAAATAAATCTGAGATTCGGGGTGGAGATTCATTCACGTAGGTTTTTGCTGGCCAGCCTATCGCAAGCAGTGAATGTACTGTGCGTATACGTGTAGTACACATTCAGGTGGCTGTTGTGTTAGATTAAATCACTTCCACAACACATACTGCTCTCAGGCGAATATTCTCCACTTGTAGTTCTTCATTGTGGACTTTCAAGCCGGTAAGAGCGTCGAAATTTTTCTGATCTGCTCCAACATACACGCAGGGACACACAACACCATACAAGAAGTTGGCTCCCTGAATATTCCAAAACATGCTGTTCACAATACGTAAATCCCACGTACTTGACTTTATAAGTTCGTCAAAACTGTGAAATTGTTCACTGTCACGAAGTTTCAATCGCTGCAAAATAGTTGTTCGCCAAGGAGGAACTGTTCCATATCCCGACATCCTAGTGGCAGGGGTACTCCCCTCAGAACAAGCAATGAACGTTCCAGACAGCAAACTCAGGAATCTCAAAAAATACTCTTCTCCTAAAATTGAAATGCAGACTGCAGTTCCACATTCTGATCTTGTCGAGAAAAAGGACTTTTCTTTATCTGGGCTCCCATCCACACCAGACTGACACGGGATGAGTACTAAAATAGTACTCCCTGGTGTTCAAATATCTACATAAACTCAGTAAAACCCGTGTTATGAAAAATACCAGCTTACTGACACGTCAAAAATCTAATTTTCTTGTGTGATAAACTGATAATCATGATAATTGAAGATGTGGCGGGAGTGTTCATGATCGATCGTCGACGCGTCCTCGATGCATCAGATCTGGAGTCGCCCTGATTCATAATCAACACAATCTTCATCCATAAATGCATAATGTCATTGACAATTTGTTGGCATTATAACTTATATTATAAGACCAGCGTGGAAAGGAGTAGTTTTCACTTGTTCACTTCTTCATACTTGAGAGATGAAAGTCATTCAATAGTTATATCCATGGACGACGATCTCGAATGTGATTCGACCGTGCGCCGGACTCTGAAACCAATTTGCACCACATCAGATGAAGCGAAGGTCAGAAGGAATTCTCCATGTCCATGCATGACATGGCATACCACAGTGCATGTCGGTACAATGAAACAGTATTGTATCTTTGAAGGGAATGAATAGCATGCACTATTACTAGGTGGGGTACCATCGATCACTTCTAGAAGATAAGGTCGAGCGTACTTCATTGTTTGTTCGGGGTTTCCCTGTTTTCTAAATGTGGTTTTGGTGGTCAGGTATCAGGTCAAGGGTGTGTGCGTGCGGGCGCGCGCGCGCGCGAGTGTGTGTGTGTGTGTGTGTGTGTGTGTGTGTGTGCGCGTGTAGCACAATGCACAGAAACATGTATGTGCACCAGGGAGTGCTAGCGTCTAGGAAGACGGCACGGGACCATAGTACACGGATGGCCCCAGACCAGTGTAGACGGATGTGAGTAAGGACGACTGGAGTGGGCAGCTTGGGAGCGGAACCCACATCCTTTCACCTTCCAGTCGTCCATGCTATCTCCCTAGATGCTAGGGCTCCCTGATATGACCGTGCCAGGTCCCCGGCCGAACCGGCCAGAGTACGAGTACAGTAGGGATATGCAGAGTGACACACTGCCGGAGTGGGTACTACATGTATGACAGGGTGGTAGGACACTCCATGGTTACTACCATATTCACTGTACCACTGTTCAATCCAGGTACTTACCGGCGGGGGAACGAAATACGGTGCCTCTCATTGGTATCGATCTTGGTTTAGTGAGCCCAGCTGAATAGGCTGATGGATCATGTACCCAGTGATTGTAGCGCATTCCTGGGTTACGGACCATTCAGAGGTATGGGCACCATTCGCTCCGAGATGCCCGAATAAGACGTGTTTTGCTACGCACCCACACACCCAAATACACACACACACATACACACGCGTACACACACACACATGCACGCACAATCAGTTCGCGTCTCACTCTCATGGTAACCATTGTCTACCAGTATATTGATTGGTATTGATGTTGGTTTACTGCCGACAGGTTGGTCATTTTGTGAGGTCGCTAATTCAACGAATTGCAGCGCTCTCGGCCACTTCAGCCACAAGCAATCAGATCACTGCTGACCAAAAACGAACGTTGCCAGTAGCCTGTGCTGAAAAGCTTGTCCAGTTGCTGAAGGAACACGCCACTGACACATGTGTAACAGCATTCAAGGTAGGGTGAGGCCTCTAGTTTGGACAATTCCAATGTCTCACGTTTTTTTTCCTGTTATCATCAAACTAGCAAATTGTACATGTAGCTGCACTGTAGAACTCGGATCTGACGAACCTGGGCTATGACGGACTCTCGGATAAGACAAACTGGTTTTCAGGTCCCGGGGACAAGCAGCATCTTAACACGATTGCTGGGCCAACAAGATGCTGTTTGTGTCCATGTTCTTGTCGTTGGCACCTGCTGCAGGTTTGCAGTCTCTCAGACTGCCTTCGCAGGGATGCTGTGGGTGATTGTGTTTGGCATGGTGGGATCAAATGCCAGTATACTGACACGGATAGACGTAGAGGTGAGTATAGTCTTTATTCTCTTTATGTTGCACACAGGTCTGTCCAGTGATGACTCTCGGCACCTGCATTGTGCGTGTATTTAAAGCTGGGTGATGTGATGTATAGGCCAATACAGTTTCTATTTCTCGTGTGTGTGTGTGTTTGTGTGTGTGTGTGTGTGTTTGTGTGTGTGTGTGCGTGTGTGTGTTTGTGTGTGTGTGTGTGTGTGTGTGTGTGTGTGTGTGTGTGTGTGTGTGTGTGTGTGTGTGTGTGTGTGTGTGTGTAATCAATGGTGCTAGTGAAGCTTAGATCAGATCCACTCTGATTTAGCCACCCACACTAGTAGCAAGTACTACCTTCACTGGGGTAACTGCAGTTGGATCCCTGGACGGATACCCTGATGCCGTCAATCCTTTTTCTGCACCTTGTCCTCACCCACTTGCTTCAGGGGGTGCCGGCCGCTGGGCGGTTCAATAGCCAATTGAGTCATCTTTCCGAGATTCCTTTTGAGTCTCTCTCCCCTCCCCCGGGGAGACCCACATGACCAGTTTTGGCAGTGAGCAACAAGTAAAAGTGTGTGTGTGTGTGTGTGTGCACGCGCGCGCATACTAGCATGTGTGTTTGTGTGTGTTTCGTGTCGCCGCCCCGGTGACCTCAAGCGCCACGAACCTTTTTGCCGGTTGCGGCCAAATTAGTCCTTTTGGTATCATTGCCTTCGGCAATGGGCAAGTTCAAGGTGTGTTTCGGTGTGTGGGGGTGTTTGTGTGCTATTTTCCGTCTCACAGGCCACCGTCCATGGTTGTTGCTGGCCTGGCTAACACCTAGTCCTCATCAAGCGGACCTGTTCAGTCACACACCTGGCAGCTTGTTTCTGCATGATGACACCACCTCCGTGCTGTGCGAGGTAATATTCCCAGGTTAACCTTGAGCATGCTGTAACGCGAGTATCGGGGACGGTTAGTGACACCATGTTCTTTTTTTATGTTAGGAGTGCACATGTAGGAAATGGCGCATGCTGTGTGATGTGAATGCCCAATGTTGCAGTCTGGTTCAAATGCATCGAACGCTTTTTTTAAAGTGGTCTTTTGTGGCAAGTGATTGTAGTTTGAAAAGGGAACGAAAACGTCCGGCAAATGAAATCTGGTCTGATTATCCTGCTGCTTGCTCTCTTCTGTGTCAGTGCATGCTGGAGTGGGATGATAGATCTATGTGTGTCTCTGACATTTTACGAATTCTTTCCCGCAGTATGTTATATAAGCAGTGTACTTGTAGCATATTTTTTCGGAGTAACAGCCGCACTTTAAACACCAGCAATTCGCCCCAAAAGTCGGTGCGGCTTACACTACGATGATCAAACTAATGGTGATAAATAGGGTAGGTGTCTGTATTTCGTGACACAAAAATATCTGGGTGCGGCTCATCTTCCAGTGCGGCTTATACTCCAGTGTGGCTTATACTCCAGTGTGGCTTATACTCCAGTGCAGCTTATACTTAGACATGTATTCGGGGCGCTTTCTACACCTGTATTGAACTGTTTCACTGTGTTGTGTCGTGTACTTGTAGGTCACGGACTGTCGTCTTGACTGGGTGGACAATCTGGTCATTGTGCCCTCGTGGAACTTTGCCTCGTTCAGAAGGATGCCTTCGGTGACGAAAACCGGTGGGTGGACCGTGCGATACTTGCCATGTATGGAAGGGAATTTAGAACTGTAACACGTTGGAGAGTATTGTGTAGAAGCATTACTCGTAGAGAAGCATGATTTGGAGAGAAGCATGAAAATCGGAAGTGTGCACCTACTTCACTACCACCGTCTGAATGAGGGAACCGGATAATCGAACACACGTACTGTATGTATGCATGGCATATGCTGCAGATCGGTAACCAACGATTTTCTTCCGGATGGCGAGGGATCCGGATAAAAGAGGACCGGATAAGCGAGGTTTGAGTGTATATCTCAATCAAATTAATGAATAGCCACTACTTCAGAAGGGAACATTACAGTGAGTTTAAATATTGTTTGTTTTCCCGGCAGACTGTTGTTGCCCGGTCATGTGATGCTCTGCTGATCAGCCGTTACCATGGCTACTGCTGTTATGTATTTTGCTCTCCAATCCACTGCAGATTCGGGTGATTTTGACATTGTGTCCGGTGGCTACTTCGAGTTAACCTCGCCACTGTCTCCTTGTTTGGCCAGAGAACCGCCGTGCATTGATACGATGGCAGCTATGAGTGTGGAGGAGCTCAGCATTGCAGCTGCAAAGTGAGTAGTGTGCCGGGGGATACGCTCTTTAATTGTGATTGTGGTAATGGATGAGGGAGTCCGTAATATAACGAACCTTGTACTTGTTTTATGTGTGTGTTTGGGGGGGGGGGGGGGTTAATGCATCTAGATTCTGGGCTGGATACCCTGATGCCATTCATCTCTTTTCTGCACCTTGTCCTCACCTACTTATTGTAGTGTGATGATTTGGTGATGAGGGTTGGGGGTGAGGGGTGGGGGTGTCGGCCACTGAGGCTCTTCAATAGCCAATTGCGGTATCTTTCCATAATTCCTTCCGAATCTCTCTCCCCTCTACCCAAGGAAGGCCCACGTGGCCAGTTTCTGGCGGTGTGCAAGAACAGCATGTCTGTGTGTATGTGTTTGTGTAGAGTAGCCTACATGTTGAGTACTTTGGCATTTGCAGCTTTTTTTCTTCTTACGGAATTACATGCAGCCCTTGTAGCCCACAAGCAAAATAGCCTAGAATAGAGCCGTGGGCAACACCTGATTCCACAGAGCATGACTTCATGCCCTGCACGGCTACAGCTACTAAGCTAGCCGAGATAAGCCTTTAAGAGTAGGGCTCTTTGTATGGAATGCAGCATGGCGCTTTCCATGGCCATACTGCAGTTGACTGCAGTTGACTTCGAGCCGTGATGTCCAATGGCTGTCAAGTTCTGTTCTGTCTGCACACTCTGTGTACACTGCTAGTTGTAGAAACGGCAAGACAGAGTACTGTGTACGTGGGAAAGTCGGATCACTCAGCCCAGTCTACCGGTGAGGACACACTACTACCCTGTATACGCTAAAAGCCATTCTTATGACGAACCGCAAGTATAACGATTTCCTAAAATTGACCGATTTACGTGTATCAAAGGTAACGATTCTCACTCTTTCTCAACGCTCACTACCAACAGTATAAGTATTGATTTCTGTGTAACGTTTCCCATTTTAACGACAGATTTCTCCTCGTTAGCCCGTTAGATTTAGCACTTCGTTATGCCGGTATACAGTCAGACCTCGCTTATCCGGTCCTCTTTTATCCGGATCCCTCGCCATCTGGAAGAACATAGCTGGTTACAGATTTACAGCATACGTGGTGCATCCAACAAAACCGGTGTTCGACTTTTACAAGGCTTTTACAGTATACAACAGTTGGTGTTGGCTGTGTTATATAAAGCCAGTTATTAAGTATTTCCTACACAAGAGGAAAACATGGATGCAGTGAATGGGATTTTCGTTCTTTGACCACTTGCTGGTGAGCTGATCTACTCACCTCCCACCGCTTTAGGAGCTGCATCTGCGCCTTGATCCTTGAAGGATGGTGGCATTCCTACGGATGCGGAAAGCCCGGCTTCCAGCCGAGTCTCACGCGAACCGTGACATTTTTTTCCTACACAATTTTTCAATGGGCGCGACACACTTTCTGCCTTAGATTTTATTCATGTTTCATGTAAATAACTGTGCACTGGTCATGTGCGGCTTGTAATAGCTGAGCTTTACGTGTTGCCAGTTGTTTTCATTTCCGTCAATTTTTTTCTTTGTACTTTCTTTTGCCTCCCTCTCTGCAGCAACTCTTTCAAGCCTCCGTTTTTCCTTATCGAGTTGTGCGATGCCAGTGGAGAATCCGTCACGGTGGTCATATGGGTCTGTATGTAGGATAGATGCTGGCATAGACCCTGGCTATAAGGCAGTATTGCCTTGCTGTAGACGCTGTGTGTCATGTCGTAACTATGGTAATGTCGTGTGAGAGTTCGAATCCAGTTCTCCACTTCTCATTATTATGCATGCATAAGATAACATGAGGACGAAAAAAGTGCTGTTTTCTGATGATCGCTTTAAAGGGGAAGTTAAGGCAAAAAATAAAATTTCACCAGTTGTAGTCTTCGGGGTGCTGAGTCGAATGGTCTTGGTCCGAGAAAGCTGAGACGCTCCCTTCCTACTTGAATCCCAATCGAACTCGCGCACTTCCACCGAAACTGGGTGACTGCGCCCTACTAGATGGGGATTTGTATGCAAAATGTCACTAAAAGCGCCGTTTCGTTCTTATAAAAGCACGGATGACCGCGATTGGCCCATATGTTGTAGTCTTTTGGACGCTGAGTCGACTGGTTTTGATCCGAAAAGGCTGCGATGCAGCGTTCCTCCTTTATTCCCAATCGAACATGGTTGAACAAGCGGTCACGTGCTCCTGCGTACACCAGTCAGCTGGTCACCGTGCCTGCAGGGTACAACTTACTAGCCTGTTTGACCTTTTTTGGGTGCAGTCCTGTCACTCGAATTGAACTCGAGTTGAACCTTGGTGTGAAAGTTGTCGCCTGCTGGCGTGGTGACCAGGTGATTTGGGCACCCAGGAGCACGTGACCACTTGTTCAACCATGTTCGATTGGGAATAAAGGAGGAACGCTGCATCGCAGCCTTTTCGGATCAAAACCAGTCGACTCAGCGTCCAAAAGACTACAACATATGGGCCAATCGCGGTCATCCGTGCTTTTATAAGAACGAAACGGCGCTTTTAGTGACATTTTGCATACAAATCCCCATCTCGTAGGGCGCAGTCACCCAGTTTCGGTGGAAGTGCGCGAGTTCGATTGGGATTCAAGTAGGAAGGGAGCGTCTCAGCTTTCTCGGACCAAGACCATTCGACTCAGCACCCCGAAGACTACAACTGGTGAAATTTTAATTTTTGCCTTAACTTCCCCTTTAATAGTGTGTGAAACTCGGAATGAAAACACTTTTTTCGTCCCCTTATTGTTTGAACTTTGAACTAGCTCTGCCTCTCGATATTGAGCACTCTCTTGGACAGCCTGGAGCCTCTCTGTTTTGCATAGGTAAGATAGATGGGATAGGTGATGTGACTGATGTCATTGGCCTATTAACCCCATTGCGGAGTGTATTTCACTTTGAACGCTTATCTTGTTTGTGTCTTGTCTGTGTGTCTGCTTTTTATGCAGAGTCCAGAGCATCTGCACTGGGTGTACTTGATCAATGTGCATGATGAGATTGCTATCTCCTCTCTCTTACATTCTGAACGCCGAGGGGTAAGAGAGTGACACCATGTTTGGCCAATGCGGTGTTCATGTGTGTTTAGCACAGAGTTGTGAGACACGTGAATGTTTTTGTTGGCTCTGGCAAACCATTTTCATGCCGATGTAGTGTTCGTCATATCGCACTGGACCATGCACCCGCTCATACCGGTATGAGTACTTAAAACAAATGTGTGTGGTTGTGGACATGCATACGTGCATGTGTGTATGATGTGTATGGTGCGTGCATACGCGCGCGCACGCGCGTGTGTGTGTGTGTGTACATATGTCATGGCTTGTGTTAAATCCTGTAGACCGGTGACAAGGCGCTTAGGTCACGTAAGACCTCCAAGCTGGCAACGTCAGCAGCGCGCCATCGTCCTATCATGTCACCTACGTGCTCGTCCACTCCTTGTTTGCCTACCGCCTCCCCACGTCGAGAACATCCAGTTTGTCTGGAATCATCGGTCGGACCAGTCACTCGCGCCCGGCGAAAACGCATGTCGGAAACAAGCGAAGACTCAACTTCAAGTCCTGTTTCACCAAGAGCAAAGCGGCGTAAAATTGGTACTGAAAGCCCTTGCAAACAGGCGATACATGACCCAAGTAATTCACCGAAGCAATCGATCTCTACTCCTGTCTGTAGGACAACGTCGAAATCCAGAGCTTCATCATCCTCCACACCTAAGTCTTCTGATGGTGTGGCGAGCAAGACTCCTCTCTCCAGAATCAGCAAAGGATCTACTGGAGACGTGAGTATGGGTGGCTGGACCATGGATACCGCTCAGTTGATGGAACTTAGCCAGGTCATGCTGGAAGCGGAACACCTCTGCAGTCCTCATTCACAAACCAGAAGCAAGTCTGTGGCAACCGGCACGACAACTACAGTGGAGTCAACACCTAGCAAAACTAAACCAGCCGTTCTCGATTCTCCACTTGTTGGCGTTCAAGCGTTATCCAAGTATCCATACAGCTCAACACCCGCTAGACAAACAGATCTACCATCGTCCATTGCTGGCCAATCTCCCATCCGGAAACCAAGCCCATTATCATCCGGGGAGCAGTCATCGTCACCAAGTCCTGCCAAGCAACGTACGTACAGCCTGCCCAGCTCTTGTGAACCATTTCAACTGGTTAGCTATGAGGTAAGTATGTTGAACTGTCTCTACAAGTACATGTACAGTGCTGTCCAGAGAAATCCAACCTCATGAATAAAGTAGCGCCGCGCCGCGTTTGAGTGCACCAGTGTGTGTAGTGCTAGGGCTGCGTAGCGCCCGGCAACACTATTTTATTCATGAGGCTGGATTTCTTTGGCCAGCGCTGTACATACCATGCCTGTGTGTTCAAAGAGATCCTGGGATGAGAATGTGATGCTTGTGCATGAAGATTTTCGGCCGTCGCAAGACTGGTGGTGGCCTGACGCACGCGAAACTTCCTAAGCTTGTTGTGTTAGCCGGTGGTAACGCGAATGTGCAAACTTTACTTTACTTGACATACTCAGCAGCTACTAAAGACCAGTGTCTTTTTGATAATATTATTATTATTTTTGTTCCTGTTCGTGTTTCACATGATGTTCGTAAATTTGGTCCTGTTCTGTTCAGGGTGTTATTTCATCGTGTGAGAATGCGTCCGCCGGTATATTCATACTGGACGGGAGAATACGTCTTGAGCGCGCCCACCAGAGCTGCTGTCAGTGGTGTCGAGGCTGGCGGGTCGGTGCACGTGCTCACTTGGACAATGTACACATGCTGCACACTCAGTCTGAGGTATGTCGTGCTCATGCTATGTACAGGAGTATGTCATGCTCATGCTATGTACAGGAGGCCGGTTGGTGTGTAAACTCTTCCAGGGTTCTAGCCGGGGGGGGGGGGGGGGGGGGGGGGGCAGTTACCCCGTAACCCATTGTACCGTTTCCTAAAAGTGTCTTGCATGCCAAATGCAACATTCTGGGGCAAACCCCCGACTTCACCCCACACAAATGTGCCATTGTGAGCCCTCTAATAGTGACTAGAGACTGCATTTTCGTTGAATGGCATGAAAAGACACAAAATCGACAAATGAATAGGGGGCGCTCAATCAGTGTAGGGGGGCGCTACGCCCCCTACCCCCTTTGGCTAGAACACTCCTGTACTTTACCGACCGTATTTTCCAGAGTAAAAGCCGCACTTTGAACACTTGTAATTCACCCAAAAAAGTCGGTGAGACTAATACCGCGATGGCCATATGAACCGTGCAGTACAGGGTAGATGTCTGTATTTCGCGACAAAAAAACCTCGGCTTTTACTCTGGAACATACGGTTTCTCCTGCGGGCAACATTTTCAATTTGTAGGCTTCATGTTTGACTGCTGCTGCTCTCATCCTGTCGCCTTCACATATGCACATGAACAAATGCTCTTCTAACACTTTCCGATGAGGGTTTAGGTGTAACAGCAGGGCGTCGTTGATGGCGTTTGACGGCTCTCTGCCGTAGAATGACAACTGTCTGCGATCAACATGATAGTGTGTTACCATGGTTGGTATCGGTTACCATCGGGATCAGACATTGATCATCTCGTAGTATGCACACCCTTCTAGAGAGAGCCCAACTGTCTAAAGAACATCATGGGACAGTTGCCAAATTATACGATCTTCAGTTCTTCCATGAACATGCTATACTAATTCCTGTTGTCGTTTGTGTTTTGCTACCTGTGTTGTGTGGTGACAGTCGTTTGGTCAGCTAGTCACGCTGTCCTGTTGCTCTATCAGCACGGTGCGCATCGTCTCCTTTGCTCTCACACCGTTCAAAACCCCGGTAAGCGACGCAGCACGCACAAAGCACATGTTTCCATGGTAGCTGCAGTGTTATGTAACATGTCTTCCGTGACTATGTTTATACACTAGTAGCCTGCACCATCCACCGCTGTAAGCAGATTGCAATTCTTCATTTGTGCATTGCATACATAGCCAGCTAGCTAGGGGGGGGGGGGGGGGTTGAGGAAAGTGTTTACATGTGTGCAAAGCATTAAAGGCTAATGGCCCCAGTGGTAGACACGCAGTAAATTGGATTGGGATTCAATTTACAGTGGAACTCACTCAGTACCTAGTCTGGATTAGACTTTCTCTTGCTTAGTATTGTATTGTATTAGACTTTATTTGAAGGATTCTCCAAAAGTAAATGGATACTTATCGGGGGAGTTTCCTGGAAGGGTGGATAAGACGAAAGGGAAGTGAGAAGGGACACGGGAAACTACTTAGCAGAACTCAAGGAAAACTACAGGTAAAACCCACCGGGGAGAAGCAGAATACATGACGAGCGCTAGAAATGAAAATCAAGAATTAACTTAGCAGAAGATCGCTCCCTGCATAGGCTCTCAGGAAGCTTGTTCCAGACAACTGATAAACCGAAAAGAGGAGATTTAAAGAAATGAGTTCCAGAACGAGGCAAACGATAGAGGAAGGGTGTCGGCAGCTGCGGGAGATGGTGAAGCTAAACTGGCTCAGTAGTGATGGAAATTGGTAGAATACATGATGAAAATAAACTAGAGAAAGAATTTGACGACGCCATTGGAGGGATTACCAGTCACACAGATGATTCAGAACATTCTTGGCTGTTGTCCAAGTAGAGACCTGTCGGGTCTCATACGCCAGGTAGGATCGGGCAGCAGTAGCTTGCAGTCGGTCCAATGTGCAGGATTGCGTAGACGAGATGGCGAACAGCCAAACAGGGACAGCATACAGTCAACTTCGCTAATAACGACTGCGGATATAACGACAATTCGCGAATAACGACAGTATGTCCATGCCCAGAGCAAAGTCCCATCCCACTGTAATACATATAATGAGACTTCGGGTATAACGACACTTCGCGAATAAGGACACCTTTTTGATGCCCTGCCGAGTGTCGTTATAAGCGAAGTTGACTGTACTCCAGTAAGGGTCTCACATAACATGTATACAGTAAAAATTGATGGTCAGGAAAAGAGTTTATGCATAGATTAAAGAGAAGGGGGGGGGGGGGGTAAGACCCCTGGGGCACTCCAGCTGTGATGGGCAACAGATCAGATCGACTTTGCCCAACTCGGACACAGATAGTACGGTCACTGATGAAGTCTTTAATCCAATCGCAAGCATTTGACGAGCACCAACCGGAAACCGACGCTAGGATCAAGTTGTGGCTGACCCGGTCGAACGCCTTGGAGATTTCCAGGAGAAGCTGATCGCAAGGTGATTTCGTGCCAAGAGCGCAGGAAACCGTGGTTGTAAGCTGAACAAGTTGGTCGACTGTTGACTTAGTTCTGTGAATCCGAATTGGTTATCAATAATACGCTTATATTTCTCAACAAACGAATAGAACTGGCGACTGACAATTGACTCGTACACCTTAGCGATTCCGTCTATCAGAGAAATTGGGTGGTAGTTGCTTGGTTCGGCTGGGCAACCTTTGCCTTTAAAAATGGGTGCCACAACTCCAGATTTCCATTCGCGAGGCTGTGTTTTGGCGAGTAAACAGCGGTTGAAGAGGACTGCAAGGGATAATCCCCGGATTGGGAAGTAGCTGCAGCAGTTTCTTTGAGAATTCGGTTACACGACTTCCCAGCAGTAGAGCGATATTATGTGGACAGTCTGAGTAAACTATCGAATATGGATTGGGCAGAGAAGGGCTGAATGGAAAATTTCTCTGTGGACGTCGGCAGCAAGATGGCGGAGTGCAGATCCAGCTGTGACAAGGGAGCCTGGCTGTAACTGGCAAACTTCCTAGCAAAGAGGGCAGCTTTGTCTGCACTGCTAGTCACTGACTTGATCTGGTTGTCATCCCGGAGGTCGGGGATAGCAGAGGTCGGGCGATTAATGTTGCAAAGGAGTTTTGCTTTTCGCCACCATGAATATGTACCCCGGTGGTTTTGCAGGTCTCTGGCCATGTTTTCGTGGAAGTGGCGCTTGGCCTTGCACATCGCGGAGTTGAGGCGGTTGCGAGCAAGTCTGTACAAAGTCCAAAGCTGTTGCCGATGATGAGTGGCTGCGAACCAGGGTTTGTTCGTTGGAAACACTCGCCTCCGGATAACTGGCACGAACGAGAACACTGCGTCTTCCAACATAGTGCGCCAGGAAGACCAAGCATCATCTACTGTTTGCACATTTAGAGACGAGGATTGTGGGTTTGGTGTTGCTGAGAGCTTAGGGACAGCAAAATCAAAAACAACAGGAGTCACAGGACAGTGGTCAGACATGGTTGGGAGAATGGTGAGATGCGAGAGTTTTAACGGAGCATTGGTTATAACTAAGTCAAGTAGAGAAGACGTATGGCCGCCAGGAGAATAGCGAGTTGCTTGCTGGTCTACAACTTGGGATAGGCCAAGATTGTCAAGGGTGTCAGACATGTATAAACCAGCAGTGTACGGACATTGTCTGGAGCACGGCTGTATTGATTCATGCTGAAGTATGCTGGGATAAGACTTGCCTCAGACACTAAGTACAGTATCCTGCTGTCCATGGGGGTACGTCGTATCAGAGTTCTACTGTTTAAGACGTACCGTATTGTCCCGGAGTATACGCCACACTTTAAACACCAGTAATTCGCCCAAGAAAAGTCGATGGGTGGATGGGTGGATGGGTGGATGGGTGCGGCTCATACACTACGAGGGTCAAATCAATGGTGGTAAACTGGGTAGATGTCTGTATTTCGTGACAAAAGAATCTGGGTTCGGCTTATACTCTAGTGCGGCTTATACTCCAGTGCGGCTTATACTCCAGTGCGGCTTATACTCCAGTGCGGCTTGTACTCTGGAAAAATACGGTATATGCTCTCAGCCCTGTGTTACTGTACGTTGTCATGTTGTTGTTTTCACACAGCCATTCTATGCTGATTCATGTTTTCACACAGCCGTTCTATGCTGATTCAAGCTCAGTAGCACTCTATGCGCTGCGCTTGAATTGTCAACAATACTCGCAATATATAGAACTCACTGAATCATTGCTGAAGAAGTTCTGTCCGTCTGTATTGAAGTAAGCTAGAACATATTGTTGCTGCTGCTGCTGTTGCTGCTATTGGTGCTGCTGGTTTGAACAGCGGTATTCTTAATTTCTTATAGATGAAATTCACTTTTTGTTTTCAAATATCATTCCTCTTGTTACCTCTCCTACCTCTGTTTTAATTGTCTGTCTGTCTCTCTCTCTCTCTCTCTGTCTCTGTGTCTCTCCTATTCAAGAGCGATGTCTTTGACTTTTTTCTACATCCGTGTGCAGGCGAGATCAAGTGATCGGCGCTATCATGTCCTCCAAGTAGGTACATGTACTGTACAGCGATCAAACTTCTCTAACTGTGTGTACAGGGCTTCGTTGTAAGCAGGTCCATGTCATGCTCTGTGTTCAGTGATGCATCACTTGCCGGCTGTTCCTCATTATGTACTTCAGAAGTAGGTGAAAGGCACATACCCCGGTACCTGTATATGGACAACCTGTATTGAGGTTCCTAAGTAATGCGCCACTTGCCTGAAAAACACCAGGATGCAGTCATGCACCTGTCAGTTTGCGCAGATCTGGCCAGAGACTAGTAGCAAGCATGCACCGCGCCATTGTGCTATGAGAATCGCTGAGTTGAGTTGGGTTTCGTCTTCTGCTTTTATGTGTTTCTTTTCTGATTTAGTGATGGTAATGCTGCGAGACGCAGAGGTGTAGCGGATGCTGTGGTGAGGACGTTATGGTCGTTCGATATCAATTCTCATCCGCCGCAGCAGGAGCAAGCCATTCCGTCGTCGTCGTCCCTCTCCGAGGCATCCGAGGTGACTACGACGGGGAATGCGGCCGCGGGCTTTAAGAAACGTGACGCCATGGCAGAGTTCACCAGTCTGCCGCACGCATGCGGTGTGAGAGGCCGCGCTTTCCCGGATATGCGAGTGCCGTCCATCAAAAACCTTGTACAACAGGTATGTGCGGCTACAGGTAAACTATTGGTAAAGCAGCATGTGTTCTGCTCAGTACATGTATTCAGAGGAACTGATTGAATCTTTAGATTTTACTACATTGTAGTGGTAATATACCGTATATTCTCTATTATAAGCGCCGTGCTTATATTTTTTCAACACCCCTCTACCCCGTGCTTATATTGGAGACCGCGCTTATATTGGAGACCGTGCTTATATTTTTTCAACCAATACATCCACACAGCAAGAAGAAATACATGCTAGATATCATGTATGCAGCATTGATTTCCACCAAGACCGTGCTAATAATAGAGACTGTGCTTATAATGTTTCGAAAGGTGCTCACAGTGTGCTAGTATTAGAGACTGTGCTAGTAATGGAGACCTGTGCTTATAATAGAGAATATACGGTATACGTTGAAGAGGATCAATATTAGTTGTTTGCCTTTAGTGTTGCATGCAGTATCGAGTTACTCCTAGTATCATTTTCTTGAGTCTCATTCCTTGCCTGCCTGGCATGCATCCTTTCTCATTTTAAATTTTAAATTCTGAAGGCCTTTGTGACTTGGTTTCGTCTTTGTGATGTTCTGGTTAGGTGCGCGAGCATGTGTACCGGAAAGACGAATGGCTGGGTGCTGACGGGAAGTTTACTGCACCGTCGTCTGACTGGCAACAACAGCGGCAGCAGCAGCGTGCAGTGCAGTGGCGGTACTCTGTCGTGCAGTTGGACGAGGACATCTTCCCATTGCAGGTACGTTGCAATCCTAGCTATGGCTATGTGGTAGAACGGTCGTGAATAATTATACTGTAACTCTGTCTCCTCTGTGTTTGTCTTGGCTTGCAAGTTTTCTTGGGAAAGTGATGTCGTGACCCCTGTCACTGCGTGAACTCACTGGGGCCATCCTGTCTAAGAGAAGTGATTGATTTTCGGAACAAGGTTGTGTATGTGTGTGCACATGTCTGTCTGTCTGTTTATCTGTACACGCATGTGCGTGTGTGTGTGTGTGTGTGTGTGTGTGTGTGTGTGTGTGTGTGTGTGTGTGTGATGCCTATGTATGTGCTTGGCTGTATAAACCGCTAGACACTGGTCGGCATTCTACAAGTGTCGCTTCACTCCGGGCGTCTCCAGCTGCACGATCGTAGTGGTCATATTGACGTTGTCGTTACTGATGTTCACAGCAATGATCCCAATCTCACCAATGGATCACAGTGTTGGATACACAAACAGAAACAAGCCCAGCCACGCAACCCATCGTCTCAATCATCGACCACTCAGTGTGCACCAGGCCGTTCACATACTGGAGGCAATCCAACACTATCGTGTGGAGTTTGCCAACCTCACCTTGTCTTACCCGAGCATATAGACAATGTGTGGTGTGTGCAGAATGCAACGTTTGTACTCGAGGAATTCACCGTATCAGTTGGGGAAGAGGGTGCTGGGAAACCCCGCAAGACTGTCCTGATGTATGCTGTGTTTTCACTCGCCGACATGGAGTGGCTTTATAGCCTCAAATCACGAAAGTCCGCCGCCTCTACTGGACAAGGCACTGGCTCAGATTCTGTTTGTCCTTCACACCAAGTATCCGCATCGGCGCAAGGCAGCAAGCCTCAGACAAGCGCTGCATCGTTCCTCGTGCGCCACAGCAAGCCTGCATCACTTCAACTCGACAGGGGTGGTATTGTCGGCTTGCATGCAATGGTCAACATAGGCTGGCTGGACAGCACACCGCCTGCCGGTAGTAGTAGTAGTAGTAGTAGTAGTAGTAGTAGTAGTAGTAGTAGTGCCAAGAGATCGTCTGTGTCCGCGTCACTATCCGCACCCTCACTATCCACACCCTTCATGACATTGAATAGCAGTGGTATCCACTGGTACCCAGTCTTGCACCCCGGCCTGACCTATCGTATTTGCACTACGGAGAGTGCAGGGCACTCCGTGAGGCTGGGCAAACAGCAGGCAACGACGCTCGACTCTGCCAGGCTGCACGTAACAACTGAATTTCACCCTGCCCAGCGCCCGGTGGCGAATGTAACACCAGCTGCCGGAGGTGACGGTGGTGATGAACCATCGACAAAACACCCTGTGTCACCCGTCCTGTCTATACGTGAGATGATCCGTGTAATGTCGGAAGAGCTTGATCGACAGTAAGTAGCCACTAAAGGACATTCTTTAAGTAGATGTTTGAATACAGTGCCTTACTCCGGTAGTTCTGATCAATTTGATGGGATATGTTGCATGTACTTCATGATGCTCTGACTTGTCACCACCACTACCTGTACACCATAGCTAACATTACTAGCCTGCAGACTAGCCTGCAGACTAGCCTGCAGACTAGCCAACAGACTAGCCTACAGATGATTCGAAATATGTTTATGTCTGCCGCACTGCATTTATAAGCGTACACGTGGTGATGCTGTGGGCGTGAAGAGTTGTGTCTTTCCTTGTGTTCGTGTGTGGTGTATGTTGGCAGGAGTGCTAACGCTGTGGAGAAAGTGTTGTCGTTCCGCGGCGTCGTCCAATGTCGCGACATCAACCTGTCGCGTAACATCTCCGATGGCAATTTAGCCTCCCACGACGCACCACCGCTGCTGAGGCGAAACTCATCGGCCACAGTGACGCTCAGCAAACCATCTGATCCCGCTGCCGGCAAGGAAACCGGGCTAGCGGCTTTGTGTCGCAAGTCCAGCGTGGCCGGTGGTGCGTCAGCCAAGGACGCAGACTCTATGTACGCGCACGGCTGCGGCTGGATCTATAGTGACGTGGCGGCATCTCATGGCCTGTTGAAGTGCCTTCAGGAGCACTTTGCCGTACTGAGCATGCGTGACCGTCATCACCTGGACAGCGTTAAAGTATTCCTGGTGCTAGACCGCAGTCCGTATGTGCTAAGTTTGTTGCCGGGCGCATGCGTCACCATCAGACATGCCTTGGTCAAGGTAAAGTATTACATGATGTACTTCGTATTTCTGGTTTTCATTAAGAGCAAACAATGCGCCCTGTCTGCTCATATATCCAATGCCCACTTTGGCACTTACTGTCTACCACTCCATCATCTCTCATCTCATGTAAAACACCAAATGTACAGTTTGAATGTTTGCGCATTGAACTGAGTACTACTGAGTAGTCAATAGCATGGGTAGGAAGGGCCCAAGCAAGGATGATTTCTATTGTTTATAGTTCAACCATTTCACCATAGCGTTGCAGGAGGTAGTGCTTGTTTTCCTATCTAAATTCCAGTGTTACCAGTCGGTGGTCTGTGTATCTTGCGTTGCCCAACTGATACACAGCGATGCAGAGGTAGGGTAGGCTGTCATGTGCTGTGAACCGCCTGCACAGGTATACCAGTAGAGGTGGTGTTATTGTCTTTGTACCTGAATATGGACAGTGGACAACCTTTGAAAAATCTTCAAGATGGAAAGCACCATTCCCAGAACTGACTTACAAAGCAGAGCACAATAGGGTATCATGGGGCAAAGCAGGGCAAAACAAAGCAACTTGAATATGTGAATCTATGTACACAATCTACTGCGGCTGCAAATAAACACAATGTCATGTTCATATCGTGTTTTCTCTCATCTGTGTACAGTGTGTTCGGTCCGGTGGCCTCAGTATCCAAGTCAACAAAGGCCTGACGCGTATGTATATCGAGTCCGTGTCTACGTCAGCGTATTCCAACAGTGCCGGTGCTGCGGGCGGTGCGCGATTGCCGTCCCTCGCGTCAGCGTCGTTCCTGCTGGCGCCGTCTTCGCAGTGCTACCTGCGCACGCTGGCCAATGACTGGGCGCGAGGTATGAGCACGTCTCTCGTCCACGCCCTGTCCTGTCAGATCACGGCAGTACAGCAGGTCACGGTCGGCATGCGCTGTGCCACGTGTCACGACTACCTGCGCGGCACCTGCCCGCACGATGACGGCAAGCACACGGGCCACGAGCCGTACGCCGAGGCCAGGTCAGTCAGCGTCGTGTGGTCTGTTGTGCAGCGGTGTGTGTGTTGTGCTGCTCTGGTGATCGCCTCTGATTTGTGGTCTGCATTTCAACTCTGTATACTTCTTTTGAAGTACTAGTATCACGTTGTGTCTCACACTGTATCACACTCTGTATCACACTCTGTATCACACACTGTATCACACACTGTATCACACACTGTATCACACACTGTATCACACACTGTATCACACACTGTATCCCACTCTGAGCTTACGTCGACAGAATAGATCAGCTGCAGAATAAGTACAGGTACTAGCTCTGGTGCCACCTGTGCTGTTTCGGGCATTGTGACCAGGGAGTCGTAAAATACCGGTATTTTACGACTCCCTGATTGTGACTCTTGTCACAGTCTTGTGTGATTTTACTGTGCATGTCTGTGTGAATTCCACATTGTGGGGATCATGTGCAGATTCGCGGTGGATGATGGTACGGCGGAGGCAATGGTGTACGCACACGACGAGCGCGTTGCAGCACTGCTGCGTCTCACTAGCAAACGCTGGCACGACCTACTGCAGTCTACTGTTGATAGCGGCGTGCTCTCGTACCAGAGAACATCTTATGCACCGACACATGCCAGTGTAAGGCTTCCTCTTGGAATGAAACAATCAGTGGTTATTTTCTATTCATTCAACTGGTATTTCAAAGTGCAATGCTGCTCAATGTAGTCTGTTTGAGTAAGTCAACTAGCACCACGCGCTGTGCAGTCCCAGACCTGCCAGGCACTGTGCAGGCCCAGACCTGCCAGGCACTGTGCAGGCCCAGACCTGCCAGGCACTGTGCAGGCCCAGACCTGCCAACACTGGGCTGTGCGCTGGTGGAGGGCACTGACTTATTACCAAGATTGGATGTCATTGAGTAGCACTGTATGCGTACACTATAGACACGACATATTATACGGGAGGGAAGTATGAGCAGTTAGTTCCATTAAGTCCGTATCCTGTCGTGCTGCATAAGCGACCGTGTGCTCATCTAAACTCTGTTTATGAAATGACCCACTGAAACAGTAGTGGCAGGCACCGGTACTGCTATTACGGAGGTTTTGCTCTACGTAATTACGTATGAAAATCCGTATGTCGTACGCGCCGGGGAGCGAGGGCAGCTTTCATACGTAAATCTCTCTACGGACTTCCGTAGGAAAGCTCTTTCCTACGTTGGGTCCTCCGTAGGACTTTTTGAAGTATTTTTTTCGCATTTTCCTCATTTGTCCATGGCGACGTTCAAGCCGCGCGCAACGCAAGGTACACACACCGTACACCACATGCAAAATAAGATGGAAAACGCGGTTTCGGTTCATGGTGCATGCGGTGGGCGCATGCAGCCAACGCGTCTCCAAAGCAACAACGCATGTTTAGCAGTCGTGGATAAATCACGTAGAGCGAAACCCAGCAGCTCTGATTTTTACGTATGAAAATTCCGTGCAGTTCATACATTATTTTCATACGTAATTCCGTAGAGCGAAACCTCCCTATTGCAAACTGAGCCCGCACAATACGCCTGGTGAAAGCTACTGTAAAGTAAGTCAAGTTTGCACATCCGTGTTACCACCGGCTATACAACTGTGCCGTGTTACCACCGGCTATACAACTGTGCCGTGTTACCACCGGCTATACAACTGTGCCGTGTTACCACCGGCTATACAACTTTGCCGTGTTACCACCGGCTATACAACTGTGCCGTGTTACCACCGGCTATACAACTGTGCCGTGTTACCACCGGCTATACAACTGTGCCGTGTTACCACCGGCTATACAACTGTGCCGTGTTACCACCGGCTATACAACTGTGCCGTGTTACCACCGGCTATACAACTGTGCCGTGTTACCACCGGCTATACAACTGTGCCGTGTTACCACCGGCTATACAACTGTGCCGTGTTACCACCGGCTATACAACTGTGCCGTGTTACCACCGGCTATACAACTGTGCCGTGTTACCACCGGCTATACAACTGTGCCGTGTTACCACCGGCTATACAACTGTGCCGTGTTACCACCGGCTATACAACTGTGCCGTGTTACCACCGGCTATACAACTGTGCCGTGTTACCACCGGCTATACAACTGTGCCGTGTTACCACCGGCTATACAACTGTGCCGTGTTACCACCGGCTATACAACTGTGCCGTGTTACCACCGGCTATACAGCTGTGCGTAGAAGGGCAATCAGCTTTGGGACGGTTGACTTGTGCCAGGCCACCACCATGCCTGATTATCCCACAACAGGCTGCAGGCCGGAGAAACACAACCAGGAGCACCGAATCAATCTTGTCTCATAACCCACAACAGCGAGTAATCGTTTGTACTACCCTTTGCACGGTGGTGTACATGTATGTGTACTACAGTGCTGGCAACTGAAATCCGACCCCCCCCCCCCCACACACACACACCTAGCGTCTCATACGAATCGCTAACGCGGCTAGCGCACCGCTAGGGGGGGTCGGATTTCAGTTGCTAGCACTGTACTAAAATCTGTCGGCACCAAACGTACGTCTCCCTGTGCCTGTTGTATGTGCTTTGTAGGATTTTGGGAATGTTGCAAACAGCACGGAACTCGATCAGATAGTGGCGTCACCTGCCGTGTATCGACGTGTGCTCCTCCATTGCTCTATGTTACGTATCAAGAACCCCGGCAGATGTAAGTCATCCGTTGCTTGCTGTTACGTACCGCTGGCGAGTTCTGTGTGTGTATGTCAGCACCGAGCAGGACATGTAGTGTGCGCGCGCGTGTGTGTGTGCATGTGTGTGTGTGTGTGTGTGTGTGTGTGTGTGTGTGTGTGTGTGTGTGTGTGTGTGTGTGTGTGTGTGTGTGTGCATGTGTATGTGTATGCCGCACATGGATTAGATGTTGGGTGTCATCGTATTTGTGTGCACGTGAAGTCTGGAAAGGTGGGCCAGTGTGCCTGCATGAAGTGGAAGCTTGAGTCAACAATGGTTATGGGTACAAATGACAGCCTATTGTGATTGCCATGTTGACACTAAGAGAGACTATAGCTTGACAAGAAACAATGGAAGCAGCACCACACTCCGTGTACATGTACAATGTATGAGTTATCGCCTTCACTCTTCTCAGTTTCAATTGGTTCCAAATTTTTGCCTCAGCGGTCTGTTGTTTTAAATTTTAAGACTTCAAAGTACAGTCCTGGGCTACTGGTAGTGATCATGGTGATAGGGATCAGACTTTGCTAGTGCTAGTGCTGGCCAGGCAAGGAAACACAGTGCCGGGTCTTAGCAGCATACAGCATGCCATGTGATGTCATGGCTGTGCCGGGTCTTAGCAGCATACAGCATGCCGTGTGATGTCATGGCTGTGTTCCCTGGTGCAGTGCACGAAACCAGCTGTCGCTTTGGCCAGGCGTCGTTCAGCGTGACACACAACCCAAAGACGCTGCTGCGCACGGCACGTATCGACGAGCAGGATAGCCGCCAGTGTCTGGTCAGCCTGCTGCGACAGTTGGACTGATGCAGTGCCAGGTCAGCCTGCTGCGACAGTTGGACTGATGCAGTGCCAGGTCAGCCTGCTACGACAGTTGGACTGATGCAGTGCCAGGTCAGCCTGCTACGACAGTTGGACTGATGTGGGCGGTGAGTGGGCGGCATGGCTGACAAGCAGTGCTGCTTGTATGGTGATCATGATGTCGCACATGCCAGCGGCGCTGGTCTGTACTACATGGTCTTGCTGATGCTGTTGCTACTCTAGTGCAGACGCGGGAACAACTAGCACATGGATGTGCTTCAGTACTCTGCATGCACCTAGGGATGAAGACCGTTGCTGGCTTTGAAGCGATTTTACGTTGCACACGCACGCACGCACGCACGTGTGCAGGCAGGCACACGTGTACGCACACAGTTTAGCAACACTTTCAGTCCAGCAGGTCTGGACTGATTATCGACTACATTCTAGACTGTAGACTTCTGACTCTCTGACATATCACTGGAATTCACATTCAAAGCAGTCAATTTTATCCGTTGTGTTTAGGCAACCATGCAGCATATGTTTTAAAGTTACAAGACTGTTTCCCTCTTTGTTCGCAATATTACTTTTGAAATTTGTCTGATTTGCTTCAACTTTCTGCCCCTGCTGTGTCATTAGTTCTCCTGATGTTTATGTGACATGCTTTCAGTAGTGTAGTCTCACACTTTTCTTGAGTTTATAATATTATATTTGACTGTTTGGGCACCACTGCTTGGGTACCACTGCTTGGGTACCACTAGCTGCTGCCTGTCACAGGAGAGACCTTCGGTAAACCAGCCAATGCCAGGCAGCTGGACAGCAGTGATCCGTGCTAATGCCGCTGAGTACTACCAATACTGAAGAAGGCTGAAGGGACATGCGTATACTGTGCACCATGCGTACACAGCGTATCATTCTGGGCTGCCATGTCAGTGCTGCACAGTGCTGTGTGCCTACGTAGCCATGCTGCACAGTGCTGTGCAAACTCTGGGGAAGGTCTTAGAACATCTACTCGAAGTACGTTACACACGTCACGGCATCTCGGCGTGAATCAGACTTAATTAGTTAGTTCAAAACAAAAATGATAAAAACCTCTACTGAACGGACATGTGTGAAGGTTGAGAAAGTAGACTTATAGTGGTTTGCTTAGCTCGGACATCATGCATGCACATCTCCAGATACATGTACGTGTACACGCAACACTGGCCTCAACGTGACCACAACATCGGGAACGTATCCGTAAAGAAAACAAGTATAGTTTGAGCATATCTGTACACATGTGTTATCTACGCGGGGTAGCAGAACGTCATAGCATGCAGCGGCAAGAACACAACTGTGCTCTTTAGAAGCCAGTTCAGTGTCGCCTTGGGTACATCGGCTTGGCTTTATGTTAGCAGGCATACACAGAGATCAACGAGAAGATACTTATAATATAGTTCTACTGAAGCTCAGACAGCGCAATGAATATTGTTACACGGGCGACCATGGCGTGGCCGAGGTGGCGCTGATAGCAAGTTACTGCTGGAGTTTAGAGGTTAGACTGTGGTGAGATCCTGCGTTGTGCTCGATGACAGCCCCACCTCATCTGTTATCGTATAGGTCAGAGATCTGGTACCGCTGACCGGAAGTTCATTGGTGTACTGGAGTGTTCGAAGCGCGGTCTGATAGCTGGTGAAGAGCGTAGTGTTCAGGCCGCTCATGCGCAGGCTCAGTGATGACTCATCGTAGTTCAAAGATATACCGTCACTGGCGACGGCCTGCAGGCTGGGACGGCACTGCTTGATACACGCACCAACAGAAGCTGGCGCCGTGCTCAGCCACAAGTGCAGGCCTGCAATCTGGCCACTAAACTTGAACACGCTCTGCTCCGGGTTGAACTGGTTTGGACGTGCGCCAAGGTACAGTCGGTAGTTGGCCGGGACAATGAAAGAGGGCGTTTGTCCAGCGGCGGCTGTAACTGGTTTTGCTCCTGTGCACACAAACAAGGAGAAAACACAGGAATAGATACATTGATGCTTTGCTCCTTGCATGCCACTTTCACCATTCTGGGTTCATGGCTGTATGTATGAGTGTACTATGTTCCCATCTGGAACTAACTATTCTTTTACCTAGTTTTTACTAACACATGCAGCACAGAAGTCACTAATAGTTTCGAAGACGTCTTTCGCACCATTACTCTTCAAGTCGAATACAATTGTATTGAGAGCCACAGCAAACAAGCTAGTTTTTAGTGGACACCCGTTTCCCATTTGAGTGAAATATAGTTGCTTTTAAAAAGGGAGAAGAAGTAGAGATTGAGGTATGACCATGAGGTCGGATTGATTAAAATATACCCTTGTCCATGCACGGAGCACCAGTGCCCCCACCGTCATCATGCATGGAGATGAGCATACTGAACATGTAACAATCAGGCGATCACTTACCCTGGAGTACGCCGTCTACATACAGTGTCACTTGCTGGCCGTCAGATGTGGCCAGTATGTGCTGCCATACGCCAGTGCCCAGGCCAGCAATGTTATCGAAGACAATGTTGTTTGTTCCCAGGCCGGCCTGCACCCAGACGATGTTCAAGTCGCCTCTCACGTACAGCACAATGACACGCTCAGTGGTATCGGTGGTCAGCGCCAAGATGTAGCCCTCGTTTCCGGCAGCTTGATTGTACCACGCTGACACGGTGAAGGCTGTGATGTCGGCCGACGTTAAGTCGTGGTTGGCGGTCGGAACGATCAAGTGGAAGTTGATACCGTCAAAGACGCCCACATTGCCGTCATGACGTGATGTGTCGACGGTGACTGGGGAGTTGAGTGCCGGTGATGTTGGTTCAGGGTTGAATAGATTGTACACGCTGGGCTGTGCAGCGCACTCTAATGTGCGTGTTAGCAGAGGAGCATAGCGTTCGCAAGACTGGCCAGTGATGGAAGAGACAACGGGAGCGGGACGCGTGCCGAGCTGCACTAGGATACTGCGCGCTTCCTTGCTTACGTCGATGTCACTGACGACCGCCTGACCAGCAATAGGAGTTGACAGGGGTGATACTGTTAGAGGTGACGCTAGTCCACCGATAGCGGGTGCTGCTCTATTTCCGGCTGGCTGTATAGTGATGGTCACCACAGCCGAAGCGCTCGTGGCAGCGACACCAGATTTACCGATATCGGTCACTTCGAAGTGGACGTACGTCAGCATGGAGAGTGAAGCTGACGGGGTGTTGTCGTCTATCTTATATAGGACAGTGCGCAGGATTGCTTGGAAGTTTTGCAGTGGCTGGCCACCTGCTGCCGAACTCAGATCTATGCTAGTGTTGTCTGTTGAGGATGTGGCTACGATACCAGTTGTAGCACCTGCATCTATCCTGAGAGTTTCACCAGCTGCGTGTGAGGACAAGTACACACGGGCTGAGGAGAAGTGGGAGTTGTCCAAGTCATCCAACACAACACCACTGGCAATCGGGGCATCTGTGTGCAGGGCCTCGTCGTAGAGATAGTTGATAGTGCTTGATGTGCCGTCGAGGAGAATGGTTGGGTTCAGGTTGGTGTTAGTGTCCTGGATAGCAATACTGGTGGTGGTTGCACCGGTAAAGAAACCGTTGTCGCTTACGGTAACTCCAAAAGTGGCCGAACGAGTCACGTCCTGGGAAATTGGGGCAATATAGCGATAGGCCACAGACCTCAGCACACGCTCGTACGTGTCAAATGTCGATGTTCCCGCAAAGCTCACAGACTTTCCGAAGTCGGACAGTGTTGCAGTCAATCCTTCCGTGTTCTGGGGACGTTCGAGAGTTTCACCGCAAGTGTCCGCAACACTATTATCACTGCACACGCAGTTGATTTCCTCTTGCGACCATAGCTTAGTATGCACTGTGATGTCATCCACAACTCCGTCATAGTTGAATGTTGTCCGCGTCGCACTGGGATAGTCACGCTTGCCGATGTGCACGTTGGCACCCGTATCCCACACAATCTTCTTGGCTAGGAGTGCCTCGCTGTGAAACTGGCAGTCGATGTACAGCCAGAGCTTGCCATTGCCAAACTGGGCATCGTTACTAACCAGCAACGTCAGATGATGGAACTGTCCATCAAACACATTGACATTGTTGAATTTGGTTGTGACAAAAGATGCAGCTACTGGGTCGTAGTTGTAGAAGACGAACTGCCTTGCGCTGTCTCTGTTCTCAAAGTAGACAGCAAGGTAGCGCCTCTTGTTGGTCACAGTCACAGCTAACAGGTTTTCTGCCTGTCCAGTGCCTGGCAGAAGTCTGAAGCGGCTGGCAATGGTGAAGTTACCCTGGGAGAGGTCTGGCAAGGCATTGTTGGGCAGAGTGGCATACGCGCCACCGGTGTAGCTGTTTTGTGTCAGCTGCGCTCCAGTCTGCTGGCATGCAGCGTCAGTTGGCGGTAATTCGCGGTTAGTCCACCGGTTCATGTTTCTTGCCGTCTCCATCAGGTGGTATAGCTGTGAGCCGGTGTCTGCCGACGTTTGCACCTCGCAACTGCGTAAGCGATCCAGCTGACAGATGTTCAAACTTGGACAGCTGCTTGAAGTTGTAACAGGAAGATGCACAGTCGCACTGGTGACTGTGGTGAGTCGAGAGCGACCGCCGATGGTCACTGACGGCGACAAGGTCTGTGATCTTGTTCCTTCAATCCAAACACTCGTGGTGGTGTTGGTGAAGAGCGGTGAAGACGGCTCCAGGATATTCACCACAGCAATGGCAGTGCTATTGAATCTGAGTGGCTTACCAACTTGACCATCCTGGACTTGAACAGCTAGAGTATGCTGGGCTTGCAGTGTGCGATCAATCAATGCCCTCAGGGAAATCTCTCCGGTGTCCGAGATCTTGAATAGATCTGTAGCATTGAGCAGTGCGTACGATGACACTCTATTCTCTACAGTAGCATCAGCATCGGTAGCACTCACTGACAGAACCGGGTCATCAACTCCAAGTGTTTCCGGCACACTCACAGTGTACACGGCCTGCGTGAACTGTGGCTCGTGGTCGTTGACGTCGCTCAGACTGACGACCACCAATGTATCAGCAGTTCTAGGGGGGCTGGCACCGTCGCTGACCAGGACCGTGATGTTATGTCGCACGTACTGCTCCATATCCAGCGCTTGTGCTAGCCTCACCGATGCGTTGCCGTCCACTGCATCGGCGATGCTGAAGAGCAATGCTGCTGTTGTGTCCACATAGCTTCCCGTGCTGGTGTCCTGGGACTGCACAGATTGTATGCTGTATGTCAGCATTCCATCACTGCCGTAGTCACCATCCGTGGCCGCTAAGCTACTCATAAGCTCTCCTGCAGTGGTGGTTTCCGGGATGAGCTGATGATCTGGCACCACGGCAACAATAGTAGGACTGTGGTCATTGACAAACTGTATGCCGAGCGTGATGCAAACCTCCGTGCTGGACAACGTCAGGTCAGATACTGTGATGCAAATCACTCGGTCCTCTGGTGTTGGCTCATCGTTGAGGTTTGTGTAGTCTAGATCCAGAATCAAGTCTTGTGTGGCAACGACTGGGAGACCGAAGTTCAGCCTGTAACGTTCTGGTGTGACGATCTGCTCTTGGATGGAGGAGTTGAGAGTGGCGATTGTGCTGGAGAAGAATTCTCCAGACTGGCGTAGTGTCTGAAGGCGTATTTCAATGGACGTCATGCTATCGCTATCCGGGTCAATGATGATAGCCGTTGAGAAGAGTCGTTCAGAGCCACTGCTATCAATGAACACTGGCATACCGGTGACCTGTAGAACGGGTGCGTCGTTCGTCAACTGAATAGCCACGCTTGCCGTTCGTGCGCTGCTGTTCGCGTTCATGGAGTCGCGCGTCAGCACCGAGATTGATCGAGTGGCTGGGTTGGGTTCATCTCGGCTGTTGCAGTACACCACACTGCGCAGGACCAGCGTGTAGTTACCCAGCGTGGCAGTGCCAAACACACGCATGGTCATGGCGGAGCTGTCGTTCCGCGTGAACGCCACGGACAAGCCGGCGGGGAGGACAAAGCCAGGGTCAAGGTGGACGCTTTCCCCAAAGCCATCTGAGCGGATGGGCAGATCGAAAAGAAGCTCTTCCAAGGTGGCGCTGTCCGGGTCAGTAATCACCGATGAGTTGTCCACCAATGGAACACATGGACCTTCTTCGGTGAACGTGGTCAAGTAGTCGAAACCAACCGTGCCCGCACCATTCAGGTCGACAAGTGGAACATTGTTGACAGCATCCAAATTGACCGTAACTATCTCAGGCACACTTCTATCAATGCCATCTTCCACTTGAAGTGTTATCTCCCTTGGAATTGACGGTGGATTTCTGTCCGTGTTACTATAGCGAACTTTCTTCAGCTCGGCCAGGTAATCTGCCAGTGGTGCCTCACCTTGGAATATGATCGCTCCGCCAAGACCCACTCCCAGCGACTCAAAGCCATCGTTGCTGATGATGGCAGACGGAGCAGCGCCGAGAATCAGCATGTCGCGTGCATCTGCACTGGTCAGCACCACTCTGGCCTCGACCAGCGTTGTGTTGTCGCTGTCCGTTAGTGTGGCGTTGGCCGGGACAACTTGCACCGACACGTCACCTTCACGGAATTGTAGATTGTAGTTGGGACCGATGATGGCGGCGTTGTAGTTGAAGACTGGTGCATCGTTCACCTCGATCACATTGACAAAGGCCGATGCTTGTGGAGAGTTCACATGGACACCATCACTGATCTCAAACGTAATGGTGCGACGGGCAAAGTTAGGCTCGTCTTCTTCGTTGAGATAGCGCACAAGTCGAATGGCCGCCAGGAAGTCACTGTAGCTGGCTGTGGTGCCGCTCTGGGAAGTGAATTTCACTGACTTCATGCTTGCATCCATAGTGGCAATCAGAGATGCGGGCACTTGGGCTGGATCAATGACCAGCCTCTCGAGATTGTTGGCGTAGGTGCCAGGGTTGCTGATGGTCACGTTGATGTAGCTGACTGCACTGACCACGGTGTCGCGGTCTATTATCGACGAGCCTGTCTGGCTCACCAGGCCCACTGGCACGAGAATGTCTTCAGTGAACGACACAGTTCTATCACGGGTAGCCGAGTCGGTCAGGTAAATCTCTGGAGCCCAGTCATTCACAGCCGCACTAGTCAGTACCAGGACATGCTCATCGCCGAAACCCACGGTATCGCTGGCCGAGATCTTGACTGTCTGAGTTACTTCAAGCACCTCGGTAGCAACACTGTTGTAGCTAACACTGCCCAGCACACTATTGAAGTAGTTGACGGAGTTAGCGTCACTGAGACCCGGCAGTGCCTGGAACAGGAGACTGCGCTCGGCACAGTTCTCTAATACAGACACGTCGGACAGGCTACGGTCATAGGACAACATATTGCCACAGCTTGCCGTGCAGCATGGAGCTGCAGCAGCGGCGGCGTCTGCAACCCTGTTTGAGAGGAACGCCTCTGCGATTTCGGCGTTATCGGTTGCATCTGAGCAGTTGTACTCGCCACCAAAGACTAGCAGTGTTGTTGCGTTGTCTTTGACCATGCCAAGCAGAGGTGCTGCAGCTCCTGGAGACGCATCACTAAACACCTCTGTGCCATCAATGTACACGGAGAGCGAGAAGGAATTGACCTGGCGGATGTACATCATCAGATGGTGCCAGCGGTCGTCCATGATAGTCGGTCCCGAGTAGACTAAGTCTGTATCTGTGTAGTTGTCATAACCTACGGTCACAGCCAGGTCTCCAGTACTGGTTACACTCACTTGAAGGGATAGGTCATTGTCCTCACCGGTGTAGCGAGACAGAAGTGTGCCGTTGGTTGCCGTCTTGAAGGCAACCGCAAGCAGAGAATCGCCCTGCATCTCTAGTCTCTCGTCTGTTTGTGGCGCAAACGTAGGAACAACACCGTCCTGTATCAAGTACAGGTCAAACGTGTGCGCTACGGAGCGCTGACCACAGACGCTGGATAGCGGCAGCAGTGCTGTGGAATCGGCAACGTTGCAGATGTCAAACGAGTTTGTGTACGGCATGGTGACCGCCGGTCCTGCTCCGCTGAACAATTCCTGAGAGCAGTGAAAGCCGTACGCCGGGTACGACATCTGGCCTGCTGTCTGCAACACCACTCTTAGCTGGCTCACTGGGTACTCGGAGAGGATATCGGGATCTTGTAAGACACTCTCATTAGCCAGGCTTACCGCTCCAGCCTGCTCCGTGTAGGTAACTGTGCTGGGCGTAGTGCGCAGGAATGACGGTCGGTTGTCATCAATATCACCTACCTGGACCGTGAGCAGGGCATTCGTATAGAGAACGTCAGCATTGGCATAACGGGGGATGGCGTTCACCGGCCCGTTCACCGCTGTGATGTTGAACCGATAGACATCGCGCGTCTCTCTATCCAGGCCAGAGGCCAGCCACACGTAGCCGTTGGCTAGGCCATGGTCTGGCCCTGCTGTCGTGTTTGTGTGGAATGTGGTCTCGTTATCAGTGAACACAATGTTATTCAGCGCGGTGTCAGCATCGGTGGCATGGAACTGGAGAAGTAGAGTGCCAACGCTGGCGTTCTCCAACACCCGCACGGTATAGTCTGGCATATCAAAGATCGGCGGGTTGTCATTGCGGTCATACGCATACACGTAGATTGATCGAAGAGTAATAGTCACCAGACTTGGTGTTCCGCGATCTTCGGCACGCACCTTGAACCGATTTGGGAGCAGGAACTCGGAATCCAGTACCACTGCTGTGCTGATGTAGCCATCATTAGTGATGTTGAAGAAATCAGCTTGCAACTCAACCAGACTCAGATCAAACTCGTTATTGGGTGCGGTGCGGTCAGCATCGGTGACTATCCACGGCGCTGCCGGGTTCACAATGGTTCCTATTGGCACGTTCTCGTAAATCTCATAGATTCCTATAGAGCGTTCTTGATGCGGGGCGTTGTCGTTTGCATCTATCAAGTTAAGGACCAGTGTAGCAAATGCAGTGTTCCTTCCATCATTGGCTGAAACAGTGACTGTCACCACAGTTGACTTTTCATAGTCCAAATCTTGGCCAGTTGAAAGTCCACCCAACACCAATTCTCCAATAGTAGCGCTTGGGAAATGAAACCCTGAGTACCCATTATCCGCACCTCCTGCATTTCCAACAGCTGACACAAAGCGGTAAATAACTACATCGTCGCTCCGCATGTCGGCATCAGTGGTGTTGAACTTTGCCAGGAAAGTGCCGTTTGGAGCATCCTCTCTCAAATTGATGTCAATGAGAGGTGAAGCAAAGACAGGCGGGTTGTCATTGTCATTCAAAACGTTGACAATGTACGGACTCTGAGAGAAGAGTGCTGGAGAGCCTTTATCGTGGACCTGGAACTGAATCTCGTAGGAGATGGAGTTGAGTATTCTGCTTTCAAAGTCAACAGTGTTGTTGAGCGTAACCCGACCCGTCTCACCGTCCACGGCAAACAGCTGTCCTGGGTCTGGCCCAGCGTTAACTACATCATATCTTCTGAGAACGTATCTGACCTCTGCATTGATGCCGATGTCTTTGTCTGTTGCGTTCAGTACAAACAATGTGGTACCAACATCGGCAGTCTCCAGGAAAGAAAAGCGAATTTGACCAAACAACTCGGGGATGTTGTCGTTGATATCGGTGAGGAAGACTGTAAGATGAGCTGCACCTTGGCGTTTTGGTGTACCGTTGTCAATCACCAAGAGTGTGTAGTTCAACCCGAATGGATATGCTTCCCGATCCAAGCCACTACGCCCCACGCGTATCTCACCCGACTTTGAGATTGTGAAAAAGACCGGGGTGCCATCGGTGGAGGTGATGTTGAAATCTAGGTCAGCGTTCTCGTTAATGTCCCTGTCACTTGCAGACACGCTTCCCACAAAGGTCAAATCAGCTGCGTTCTCCTCTACTGAGAATGTGTAGTTGTCTCGATCGAAAGCTGGATTGTTGTCATTGACATCTTGTATAAGCACGGTGACAAATGCATGTCCACGGCAGTGCAGACTGAAGTTGACAGGATTGTCCGTTGCGTCCACCAAGAGCGTGTATGTTGATTTGGTTTCGCGGTCAAATTTCCCCACACTGGTTATGGCTGCAGTTGTTGAGTTGATTCGGAACTGAGCATAGCCTTCACTGAGCGGGTTCAGGCTGTAATTCAACAAGCCGTTAGGCCCAAAGTCTGGATCAGTAAAGTACACGGTCACAACATCCTGGATACTCGCGTCTTCCTCGATCACCAATGTTGATGTTGTATTGGCTGCCATTGGACAGTTGTCATTCTCATCACTCACAGAGATGGTGACGTAATGCAGCGTGCTGCATGGATTGGTTGTGCTGCCGTCGGTGGCTCTCAGCACTAGACTGTACTGGCGTGGCAAATTCAACGCTGATTCGGGATCCAGCTTCCGATTAACAAGGAGTGCATCTTGATTCAGGTTGAGGCGGAACGCCGACGCAGTGAGAGCGTCTGCTACTGTCACAACTGTCAAGGCGGCATTGGTACCGGCATCAGCATCTGAAACAGTGAACTTCAGCGCCTCGAATCCGAGCGGGGCGAATTCGTTCACAACTGGTGCAGAATTATTGCCGATGGAGAACTGTGGACAGTTGTCGTTGACATCCTCGACGGAAATGGTGAGCGATGCAGTGCAGTTGAGAGGAACGGTGCCCATGTCCGTAGCTCGCACAATGATGTTGTACTCGGTATACATCTCCCGATCTAGTGAGTGGTTGGTGAAGATGGCCACACTGCCATTGGCGTAGTGCTCGGAGTAGAAATGATCTGATCGAGTGCCCAGCAACTCAGCGGAAATCAGAGAATTATTACCCAGGTCGGTGTCCATCGTCTGCAGAAGAGCCACAAGTAGATTATCGACATTCTCCACCGCGCTGAGCATGTAGAGGCTCTGCGCAAAGCATGGCTGTACGTCGTTGCGGTCCAGAATTCCGATAAGCACGGTGGTGAACACTGTGCTTGCGCCTACGCCGGTGTCACTCACCGACACCGTCAAGTTAATCATGTTCGTCTGCTCGCGGTTTATCCGTGTGCTCGTGGTGGTGATCTGTCCTAAGTTGTCGATTTCAAAGTGGCCGCCCTGGTTGCCGTCGGTGATCTGGAAGAGCAGGCATCCCTGCACACTCTGACTGCCGCAGTTCGGATCCGTGGCGGTCACCGTGCCGACCGGGAAGAACTGCTCCGTGTTCTCATGTACTGTAAACATGTAGCGGTTCTGAACTGCCGGCCCGCGGTTGATGCGGATGGTCAGCTGCTCGATGTCGCTGCACAGGCCGGAGCCGCCGCATGCCTGTACACCGATGGTGGTGAGTGGATCACGACTGGCTGAAACGGGCAGAGCCCGCTCCACATCTCCATTGGGTAGCACGCGGAACGCATCCGGAAACTCCACCGAGTTGTTCACGAGTGAGAAGTTGAACGTGTTGAACTGTGCGGTGCCATCGAGATCTCGACCACGGACGGAAAAGAAAGGAACAGACACCGTCTCAGATATGTTGATTGTAGCTGGGAGGTTTAGTATTTCCGGCGAGAAGTCGTCCTCGTCTGAGATTTGAATAAAGATTGTCTCTGAGCCAACATTTTGGCCGTCAGTAGCGTTGAGAGCAAGTGTGTAGGAGAGTTTTGCACCAACTCCTTCATAGTCAACCGTTTGTAGCACGGTGAGGTTTCCACTCACGCTATCAATGGCAAACACGCCAGCACCGCCTGCAATGGAGTAAGACAGGTCACTGAATATGGCCGTGTCGTTGTCAATAGCCTGCAGCACGGCAACCTCCGTGCCTGGAGGCGTGTTCTCTGGGACGAAGAAGTTGAACGGCGTGGAGACAAAGTACGGCACGCCATCGTTGACATCGATCACGGTGATTATGACGGTGACCTGTGCCGAGCGCTGTGGAACACCGCGGTCATATGCAGTCACGCTCAGTACATGTACCTCCTTCTCCTCGCGGTCCAGAGCCATCGCCGTAAACAATTCCCCGGTGTCCGGCATGCGGAAGCTATTGCTGAAACCATCGTTGCTTACGACAGTGTAGTGCAAACGACCGTTGGAGCTGCTGTCAATATCACTAGCTGGCATTGGAATCACCGAAGCATTTAGCGCATTCTCGCTCACACTGGCAGCATACATGGCCTGTGGAAATATTGGTGCGTTGTCGTTGACATCAGCAACAGTGACGAGAAGAGATGTTGTGGAGTTGAGGCTGTCGGACTGTGCTTGATCCTCGGCGACAATCTGTAGCATAAAACTTCTCATCAACGCCGGTGGATCATAGTCTAGCTGTGCAATGGACATGACAGTGCCCGTGCTTGGATCCACATCAAACAAGTGCGTGAATGTCAGTAATGTATAGCGAACCTCTGCATTCACACCGGCGTCTCTATCCTGAGCAAGCACCGTGAAAATAGAGGTGTTCTGGAATGTATCAGAGTCACTCTCATTCACCTCAACAGCATAAGGCTGACCAACGAAAGTGGGTGGATTATCGTTGACATCTGTTAGTGTCACGTTCACCAATACACTGGTCCTGCGAGCCAATGGAGCGCTGTCTGTAGCAACTACATAGAATGTGAAGCTTGGTGTTGTCTCCCTATCCAGAACAGAGCCAGGCCGCACGCTCAGATATCCGGTGGTGTTGACTCTGACCAGGTGATGGCCTGTCCCGCTCGTAGGGTCAATTGAATACGATATCACGTTGTGCGAATCCGCGTCCACAGCTTCAACGACGCCGAACGCACTTTCGCTATTCTCCGTCGTCACAAATTCGTACGAAGGTTGCTGAAGGAAGCGTGGCGAGTTGTCGTTGGTGTCCAAAACGGTCACATTCAAGCGGAACTGCTGCCATGTCAGGTTGGCCGATGGGCCTGGATTTCTGGCCTCGACGATCACTGCATGCCACGTGGCATTCTCGTAGTCCAGACTGCTAGTTAGAGTGATCACACCGGTTGTCTGGTCTACAGAGAACCTTGACGAGGATGCACCCGGGCCTAGATAGTACTCAACCACTGCATTGCTGCCTACATCCTGGTCAGAAGCCTGTACAGTGTAAAGAGGTACCGGCCCCACGGGCGCATCCTCAGCCAAGTCCAATGCAGCAAAGTTGACACTGAACATCGGTGCGTTGTCGTTGACGTCAATAACAGTGACGTTGATCACTGTGGATGAAGAGCGAGCATTCGTCAAACTCAGATCATTGGCTCGAATGGTCAACGACCACTCTGGCCTGGTCTCTCTGTTAAGGACGCTTCCACTCGCCACTCTCAGCTCCGTGACTCCTGTTGGACTGGTAATCACTTCAAAGGGAGCTAATGGTGGATCAAGAATTGTGACCATGACTTGTCCATTTCGACCGCTGTCGGCGTCTTTGACCTAGCATTGCGAGTGGACAAATCATGAGCATGTGCACATACATACACACACCACATACACACACACACACATACACACGCACAAACACACACACACACACACACACCACACACACACACATACACATACACACACCACACACACACACACACACACACACACACACACACACACACACACACACACACACACACACAAATTCATACATGAAAAAAACACAGACACACACACAACTTGTCCCCCCCCCCCCCCAACTCAGGGACTCGATTTGCCGGTTCAATGACAGTTAAAGCCCGACTGAGAGTCGACTATCCCTTTTTCTAGGTCATAACACTTAAAAGGTGAACTTAAGACCATTGAAGTATGGTGGTCTGTGGCTGTGCACTTTCACTGTGCGGCACCTTCAGTGTACTAATCCCACCGTCGGAAGGAAATGGCCCATATTGTGAGAGTTGTAACATGCATACATACACACGTACATACAATGTACACTCGATCCGGTTTGCAGTGTGTGAGTGCACCATTCCATGCCTCAAGCAGTAAATTGGCATGGGTAACAGTTGTGTCCAAGCCATAGAGTACACAACTACTCTATTCCTGTGGGTGACCATTCAATCGGTTTGCATCCGTGTTTCAAACTACACTGCCCAATAACGTGAAAGCACAATTGCCGGTACTCAATTCGCACGCTCTTACTGTGAACGTGGTGACCAGTGCGTTTACAACATTCTCAGAGACGTTGACGGTAGCTGACACGTTGCTGAAAATTGGTGTATTGTCATTGTTATCCAAGACTGTCACGTTGATGAGCATGAAGTCAAACTTTTCTCCATCACTGGCCGTCAAGTTGAGGAGATGGTTTGCAAACAACTCGCGATTGATGGTGCCTCCCAGCGAGAGTTCAGCAAATCCATCACTCGTCTTGGTGACGTTGAAGAGCTGGCTGTTGATGATAGCGTAAGTGATAGTACTGTGACCAGGGAACACATCGGCATCGCTGGCAATCACACGATGCAGAGGGCTGCCGGCTGTGGCGTTCTCTGGAATCTCAATGTCGACCTGGCGAACCGGGAATACCGGCGCGTTGTCGTTCTGCAGATTCAGTGACACCGTGGACGTTGCTACGTTGCTGGATCGCGTACCATCGTCGGTCGCGAACACACGGATAGTGCGGATGACTGTAGGATCCGTCGCTGAGACGGAACAGCATGGCTCATCTGCTGTGTTTCGGTAGCGAAGTTTTCCAAGCAGATCCTCGTACTCTCGCACTGTCGCGTTGCCTGAAATCACAAATGAGAACACTGTGTCATAGGCACCGCCGTCGGTTCTGCGCCCAAGAGAGTACCTTCGTGAGATAATTAGACCCAATGATGTGTCGAGATGGGAGACTGAGCGTACCGATACCGATCCACTGAATGTTTGGTTGAGAGCATCACCAAATAGGCTCGGTGGTGAAGGTACAGAAACAGTGTTTGTATCTGTTCTAGTTGCGCCATCAATATCAAAGTCTTCCATAGCATCTCCTTCCACAGCAACAAGAAGTTCATCCAGGCTCAGTGAGTCACTATCTGTCAGCGAAAAACCTCTCACACCGAACCCCAGTGCGGTGGTCGTTTGCTGGAAAGTTACGGGCACGCGGGCTGCAATAGTTGTGACCGGATCTACTGGCCCAGTAGCGGGCGTAGCAGGATCTTCCTGTGTTACTGGGCTAGTGGTGACTGCAGCAGCTGTGCTGGGAGCAAGAGTTGTTGCCAGATTCGCCGTCGTCACATCCAGTCCGGCTTCGCCCAGGGGAGCCTGAGGAGCCTGTCGTTTTCTACGCCCCCCTTGATCTGGTGGGCTCGGGGGCACAAAGATAGTTGTTGCTATTGAAGCTGGCATTGTCGGTGTTGTTGCCATGGTTGTCTGTGCTGGTGTTGTCGCCATGGTGGTCTGTGCTTGTGTTGTTGCCATGGTTGTCGGTGCTGGTGTTGTTGCCATGGTTGTCGGTGCTTGTGTTGTTGCCATGGTTGTCTGTGCTTGTGTTGTTGCCATGGTTGTCGGTGCTTGTGTTGTTCCCATGGTTGTCGGTGCTTGTGTTGTCGCCATGGTGGTCTGTGCTTGTGTTGTTGCCATGGTTGTCGGTGCTGGTGTTGTTGCCATGGTTGTCTGTCCTTGTGTTGTTGCCATGGTTGTCGGTGCTGGTGTTGTTGCCATGGTGGTCTGTGCTGGTGTTGTTGCCATGGTGGTCTGTGCTGGTGTTGTTGGTGCCACGGTAGTGACATTGATCAGGTTTGCCGGAGGGGAGGGAGGTGGCAAAGGAGGTGGGAAGGTGACGTTACCAGGCGCTGCTGTAGGCATGGTTGTCGTAGCAACCGTGGCTGCCTCGCCTATAGCCGTGATGATCTGTGCAGCCGTCAGCAGATTCACTATGCTTATACCCGATCCCTCAGGAGCATTTTCGAGAAGACGTGACCCGTCAACATTGGGCACTACAAAGTCTGTACCAGGCGTCTCAATGTCCAAATCCAACCGGGGCGTATCTGGTACAGCGATGAAGTTGACTGTTGTTGCTTCTTGTGCACTCTTCTCCTTATCATCCGTGACATTGAAGATCACGATACGCCTGGTTCCGTTCAGCTCATCGTCTCGGTTTTGGTATCGGAATGTTCTCATCAGAGCTTGCCAGATGGAGATGTTGGCACCGGTGCTGTGCATGAAAACCGCCCTGAGAGTAATGACATTCGGCGACTCGGGACTGCAGCCCGCGTCGCAGTTTATGCCGCCGCGCACTGCACTCATGTCGTAGATGAGTGTTTCCTGACGGACTACCTCAATGCCAGTCAGCAGTACCTCCATCCTCTTTAGGTTCTCAGAGTCGGAGTCAATGATAGAGCCAGCCGGTGCCAGGTACACATTGCTACCACCTTCGGTGAAATTCACCGAGTGACTACGGCCCAGATCAGCGCCATTCAAGTCGATGAGGGGTGCATTATTGAAGATGTCCACGGCTATGGTTAGATTGGCCGGGCCGCTCTCACCAAACCCGTCACTCACTACGATGGTCAAGTCACGCGTGCCGTTGGTCGGCTGCGGAGTTCTCTTGTTGTTGTAGCGCAGTGAGTTGAGCAAGAGGATGAAGTTGGCACGCGACTCCGGGCCGGTGAAGCGTACCACGTTTGTATCGTTGACAGTGACATTGAACGTTGTGCCGGTGAGGTCTGCAAGGATGGCTTCATCCACACCGTCGCGCACACCCGTCAGACGCACCTCCAGATAATCCAGCGTGTCGTTGTCAATGTCGATAATGGTTCCACCGGCCACAGCTGTCAGTGCCACCGGCGGTCCACCTTCGTCAAAGTTGATCTGTAGCTGGTCCGTGGTTCTGTTGATGGAGGCATCCAGACGTACTTCAGGAAGATCATTGGTTGGTAGAATTGTCACAACGCTGACAGCCGAGGTGGTGAACGAGGGTGGCGATGCAACAAGAGGATTCACGCCACACGGCGTGTCAGCAGGCAGACCTGTTAAGTTTTCCTTGTCCTCCATGGCATAGAGTATTGTCCTGGTTGTTATGCTGCTCCCACCCTGCGGTTGAGCCGCTGTATTGAGGTAAGTGGCAGCCTCTAGCAACGTGATGAATTCTTGCAGACTGGCCGAAAGGCTGGTCAACGTGACCGATGAGCTGTTGTTGTTGAGAATGCGAACGCTGTCCTCCTGCACACCCAGAGTGGTCGGTGATGGCAGACTGATGATCTCGTGCGCTCCGTCTTGCAAGTCGCTCACGGAGAGCGTCACGGAGTAGATGACGTGTGACACAGTGTCATTGTCCACGATTCTAATGCCGCTGGGCAACACCAGTGCCACTGGCAGGGGAGAGTCTTCTACGAACTGTGCACTGGTTGCGTTTGTTATGGCTCCGGCCAGGTACAGTTCAGGTGCATTGTCACTGATGAGTCTTGGCTCCATGGCGAAGCGATACGTTTCACTCTCGGCAACGCGACCTCTCACCTGGAATGTCAATGTACGACTTGCAGCGGAAGGCTCATCGGCATTATTAAAGTAGCTGAGCGAGCGGAGGACTTCTTGATATTGCGTCACGGTCGACGATCCGTTGACATAGATTGAGTTATTTCCATAGATGACCTCCAGACCGTGTGTTGTGTTGGCGGTGGCGTTCAGTCGAAGGTAACCGCCATCCGCTTCACTTTCCAGCGTGATCCTGGCCCACTGAATCCGTGCAGCACAATCCGGATCGACCACCGACAGCCCAAGTCCTATGGCGTTGCACGGGGCTGCCTCTACAAACTGCAATGCCGCTGAACTGGTCACGCGCGGCTCATTGTCGTTGAACGTGAAGATGTTGACAAAGGCGTACGCCGGCGGACCGTACTCCATGCCATCAAAGCCACGGAACTCAATGGTGCGAACATGGTCATACGGCTCGGGATGCTGGTTGAAGAACTGAGCAGAGCGCAAGTATTGCTGCCAGTTTGACTCGGTTGTGCCGCGCTCATTGGGATCAGTGTGGAAGGTGGTGATGTTCCAGGTTTTGCAGATGGTTCCTGTCACGTTGAACACGCCGAGATCGAAGAGGTCGTTCGGCGAGAATAGGATGCGATCAAGATTTGGCGTGGTTCTCTCGAATCCTGGACATTCTTGTGTGCTGTTGCAGACAGTGGAGTTCTCACCATAGATGTTCATCAGGACACTGACAATGCTGTCATCTTCAACATCGTCGATTGTCAGTCTGAACTGATCCACTATAGGTACGGGTACAATGTTTTCCACAAAGGTCGTGGTGAAGTTGATACTGTCCAGCCCATCCAGTCGGATATACGGCGGGTCATTGACAGCATTCACTGTGGAGGATATGGTTGTGCCGTTGAGCGTTACCGATGTGGACGCAGTGGTATCGTAGGCATTCGTGCCAACATAGACACCGCCATCGCGTTGATCCCAGGCCAGAAGGCTGGCCGTCTTCTCTCCGTTGGCGTGCATAGCCGGCTGGAAGCGGAATCGACTTCCTGAGCCCACCAGCCCTGCCATGATGAAGGAACTGTTTGGACTGATCTGCTTCCAGGTCAGCGGCAACTGCAGGGACAGAGTAGTGTTAGAGAAGACGCTGCCTTGGCTCCACACGTGGACAGCCACACGGCCACCTTCAAGGCCTCTGAGTAGTTGAATGCGATCACCGGGGAACGGGTCAAACCAGCCACTGAAGGTGGTGTTCCCGTCACCCCCGGTCCACCGAACTCGGCCAATGTAGCTTGCTCCCAGGCCGAAATCAACTCGGTCGATCAGCATGGGGCTTGTCTGTGTTATCTGCAACGTCAGCTCTACAGATGAGTCCCAATGTATTGTGGCGACGGCCCATCCCCACGACACGCCTGCATGCCACAGCTCGCCAGTGTAGACCTGCGACATTGAGTACTCAAAGTAGCCGCTCATGTTTCCTGTGACGTCCGTCACTGCCAGGCCAAACACTGCATTGTTGTCTATGTCATCGTTGTCCTGCACCAGGCTGTCAAACAACTGCCAAGCTGGCCGGCCAAGATGAAGATGATGCAGTGGGTCCTCATCAACAGTAGGAAGATCCGGTAAAGAACTTGGTCCGGTGTACTCCGGACGATCATTGCGCTCCTGCAGTGGCAGCTCGTGCACAAGTGACGTAAAGTTTCTGTCAAACTGGAAGCTGCAGCTGTTCATGCCGGCCGCCGTTGTACTGGGTTCATCCGTGATCCATACCGTGATTACGGCCGTGTCGTTGTAGAGAAACTCCTCTGCTGTGTTCTCGTAGAGCAAGGACTTGAGGAGATTTTCGTACTGCGGATGCGGCATACCTCCTTCAATCAGGATCTCCCTGCCCCGGTTGTCCACGCATAGTGCTGGGTACATGACTGGGTCGAAGGTGATGCCGATGAACTCCTCAGAGGCGGTGTAGTTGCCTCTGGTTACGGATGTGATACGCACGCCATGGATCATAGGGATAGCATTGGGCACGGTATCTGCGTCGCTGATGTTCACACTCTGGAACACACGTGTGGCAATCTGTCCCGCTTCATCCTCCAGGTGGAAAGGAGCTTCATTCTCAGCTCGGAACAACGGCAAGTTGTCGTTCAAATCCCTTAATTGGATTACAAGTGACGCGGTCGCAGAGAGAGTGGGCCAGCCATGATCACTGACTGTGATTGTATACTCGAACTGGCGATACTGTTCGTAGTCCAGATTCGCCTGATGCCATACAACCACGTGAGCAACTTGTGTTGTGGATGCGTTCACAATCACCAAGCGGAACGTCGTATTGTCGAGCGGCTCCATGGAGGAAGCGCCGCTGGGCCACTGGTGAGATGCGGCCGTGATGCTGTAGGTGAGGAAGCCGTTGGTTGTAGCGTCGGAGTCTGTGGCAGTGATGCTCAGGACCGTGGTACCGACCAGAGTGTTCTCATCAATATCAACACTGTACGGTGTAGCGCTGAACTCGGGCCGATTGTCATTCACATCCAGGACTGATATAGACACGGTGGCGGTGTCAGAGCGGTATGACAGGCCTTCTGGGAAGTACGGGCTACTGTCTCTCGCCTCAATGACCAAAGTGTGCAGCGTGGTGTTCTCGTAATCCGCTTCCTTGACCAGCTCCAGGACGCCAGAGGACGAGTTGATGGTGAACAAGCCATAGTCGTCACCCGACTGGATGCTGTAAATAAGCTCGCCGTTCAGCCCAATGTCACGATCGTATGCCTCGAGCGGGGCTCTAGCCTGAGAGAATGCCATGCCACGCGGTAGAGATGAGGCGCCGCATCTGCTGACGTCATAGCTGTTCTGAAGGCACGTGTTATCTGCAAGCAAGTAAGACAAACAACACAAGAGACAATCTCAATTACCGGTGAGAATGAGTACTAGCTATGAGAATGGCCTACCAGACTATGGTCTATGGTATCTGTCTCGGGAGCAATGGAAAACTATGGTATCCGTCTCGGGAGCAATGAAAGACTATGGTATCCGTCTCGGGAGCAATGGAAGACTATGGTATCCGTCTCGGGAGCAATGGAATAGCTTGCAAGAGTGGAACTATTTGAGTAGGGTACTGACAGCAAGAAAATATCACTACCAACAATAAAGCAATGTACTCCTTCAGCACCAGCTGCACTAGAAGCAGGAGCAGCAGTGGCAGCAGCAGCAGCAGTAGTAGTAGAAGTAGCAGTATCAATCGGCAGCGGCAGTAACAGCAGTACATGTGCTGGCATCAACAGCCTGCAAGCACACGAGAGTATCATGTAACTTACTGTCACCACAGGTATGGCTGACAAAGACCTTCAAGCCAACGGTGTTAGCATCCACGCGTGCATTGAGCGGTGGATCAAGCTGATCATGCAAGCCGTGCAGGTACAGGCAAGCCTCGTTTGAACCAACATAGGCTGCCAGCATCGCACTGTCCCATGTTGCACCCAAATTGCCGGTCGTGAAGTTCTGTCAAGAAACACAAGCAAACGAGCCCAGGAACTGGTTTTTGACATAATGTTCAACATTAGTCATGACAAGAATACTATCTATACTGGAAGGCATAATTATCAGAAATCAGCAAGCCCGAAATGATCATCAAAATGTACAAGTAATGTCTTCTAAAAACATACGCAAGTGTGCACCCTGTGAGCAGCTGATGGCAGCAAAAAACACTGCGTAAGAGATGGCACTTCTGCATTAGCACATTTAATTGCTTGTTTAGAACTTACCGAGCTGCACTTGGTGATGTCGTTACGAACTGCAACCATTTGTCCCGAACTCCAATTGCCCGTTCTGAGCGGACAGCTGAATGCACCGCCCATGGCTGTACCGTCCAGAGCGGCAGCGTATGTACCAGAGGCTTTTGCAATGCGTTGCTGCACCATCAGTGTCTCATTGCGGAAGTATGTGTAGAGCTCCGAGTATGGCTTGCTGTGCATGTACACACACACAGGTACAATGAGATGAGGTCATTGCTATGACGTCACTGCTATGCGGTCAATACTGTGAGGTCATTGCAATGAGGTCATGCTGATACATGTAGGCATGCAGCGGACCTAAGGCGGCTGACATTGAAGCATGCAAACACAGCGACGCGCGTGCGTGCACACACACACACACACACACACACACACTTATGTTCTAAAACAGCGGGAGCACGTTTCCCGTAACACTCAGATCTCCAAAGCTGGAATACAACTTACTGCTGTGCTGTAATTGTGACGTCATAGATGCCCAGCCAATCCACCGCTTTAGTGGAATCGCTCACAGTCAATCTAGCCAACAAGGGATTAGGAAGCCAGGGATTGTTCAGCGGTACCAACTCAGTCATTTGCTCAAAGATAATCTTGCGTCCGGCTGAGAAGCACTTCTCCTCGGTAGTTCTGGGCATGACAACTTCTTCCTTAAGCATCACACTGGTGTTGGTGACGGTCAGCATGTCGCACAGAAGAATGCTGTTGCCGGAATTTATCTCGCTCTCAATGACCAGCTGCCGGGAATATGTGCCACTGGCCACTGTGACATCATAAGCACAAGAAGAACACAGAACTAATGTGAGACATAAGCACAAGAAGAACACAGAACTAATGTGAGACATAAGCACAAGAAGAACACAGAACTAATGTGAGACATAAGCACAAGAAGAACACAGAACTAATGTGAGACATAAGCACAAGAAGAACACAGAACTAATGTGAGACATAAGCACAAGAAGAACACAGAACTAATGTGAGACATAAGCACAAGAAGAACACAGAACTAATGTGACATGCTCCACTTCACACTACAGCTAAAACTAATGTGGCATGCTCCACTCTACACTACAGCGTTTGACATACATGTACAGTCAATAAAGAAAGAGAGCTCAGCGTGCCAGCACTACATCACATTGCAGGTGTTTCACACACTGGCAGTTACAATGTTTTATCCTAACTGTAGGATGCTGTAAGTCTCAATAGTAGCAATGAGCAGGACAATGTAAGCACATAGTGGAGTTGTAGCCAGCCAGGAACTGAGGAGGAGGGGAGGGGGCGTAGACGGCTTCTAGATTGGCAGTGTTCAAGCACCACGTATTGTATACAAGTGCAGGTCTATTCCCATCATCTACTCTACTACATGAAGTGAAGCACTACTCCAGTCGCTTACTCTACTACATGCAGTGCTGGACAGACCCGATGTTGTTACAAAGGTTACCAGACTGAGAGCTAGTCCTCCGTACCGACTACATGCTACATGTATACTGTGTGCCACCGTGCACGCCGGGGAGAACAGGTGGCTGTACGAGGTCAAATCATGCATTGCTCCATGGTTTGTTCAAATGAGAAAGGCAGCGGTAAACTATTCAAGAGGGGCACAGCTTGGTCACTATGGTGTGCTAGCTGTAACCCTAGAGAGCCGCACTGTTGATGACGGTTGAATGTTTGTTTCAGCAATATCCCAGCATGACACAGCACAACCATGCGACGTGCCTCAGTAGTAACGCCTCAGTTTAAACAAAACTCACAGTGTGGTCTCCAGCGTGCGCTTGCCTCGGTTGACAAGAAACTCGGTAGCTGCAAGGTGGAGGCCACTGTATCTTCAGCCAGTAGGACATTGTACGTGTCTGGGTCGAATACCGGTGGTACATCATTGACATCATTCAGTGTGACGCTGACGTTGACTAGATCCGTTCGTGATGGCACACCGGCATCGCGTACAACTACCTGGAACCAGTAGGACGCCACGTCTTCACGGTCTAGGGCCTGCCCCACGGAGAGCTGACCCGTGATGGGGTTCAAGTACAAACGTCTGTCCGACGACCAGCTTTGTCCGGGCACTATCCAATAGGATAAGTTGCCATTACTGGTGTCATCCTTGTCGGTAGCATTAAAGTCGTACACAATGAACGACAGTGGAACGTCTTCATCGACTGCCCGACTCACATCGTTCAGATTTGGCACAAAGACGGGCGTGTTGTCGTTCAAGTCCTCAATCCATATCTGCACCGTGATGTTAGTGGTGTGGGGCGTTAGGCGAGTTCCGGGCATGGTAGCGTTTGAATTGTCGCTGGCCTCAACTACAAATTCATACACACGTTGAAGCTCATAATCCAGTGGTCCAGGGTCCTGTTCAGGGATCGAGCCAGCGGTACGATTAGCAACTAGCGTGATGTTGCCAGTGTCCGCATCCAGGGACCAAACACCAGTTGGGTCGGTACCGCTATCAATGATGGTGTACGTGATGTACTCCATAATGCCCTCGTCAAGATCGGTAGCGGTGATGACAAGCGGAATAAGTCCAGTGTCGGCGTCCTCACGTACCGTCACCGTGTACGGCGTGTTCTGGAAGACGGGCCGGTGATCGTTGTCCAGGACTACGTCAATCGTCGTGGTTACCGGCAAGCTGGTCAGGCTCGGCAGGCTCTCGTTGTCGCGGTGACCGCTGTCTGTGATGGTCAGCGTAACCAGGCGAGAGCCTTGCTCAGGCTCGTCCTGAGTGTACAGGTAGCGGATGGAGTTGATCACCGTCTTGTACTGGATCTCCGTAGCTCGGCCGCTAAGTGTGAGGTTCTGCGTGTAGTTACCAGAAACCGTGATGTCCGCGTCGGTCTCTGTCACAATGAGCACCTCCACTAAGCTATTGTCGAAACCAGACAGCCACAGAGAAGCAGATTTCATGTAGAAGTTATCAACGTCCAGGATACCCAGTCCACTTGTGATTCTCAGCTGGTAGCTGCCATCGTTATCTATATATCTGGTCTGATAGTCCCGGCCAGGTCCATCACCGTTCATGTCAAGAACGGGAACATCATTCACCGGGATGAAGGTGATGTAGGATGTACTTGCAATGCTGCTGAGTTCACCGTCACTGGCTGTGAACTCGACAAGACGCACATGTTCACTTGGGTTACCTGGATTGGACAGGTTATGCACGTACATTAGTGTTTCCAAGGCAGTGGAAAAGCTAGCGTTTGAAGCTGGGCCAGAGAAGTTCAACAGCAGGGTACCATTTCCGGTTAGCTGCAAGCCCAGACCGGAGATATCGCCCGCCCTGAGATATTCATTGGGCCAGTCACCTCCGTTGGTCAAGTTGACCACTACCCAGTGAATGAGTGGAGTTACGGAGTCGACATCGTACAGTACAACATTGTTGGACACCAGCGCAATGCTTTCATTCCTCTCTACGAACGTGGTCATGTAGTTATTGGTTGTCAGTTCCAACGCGTCCAGGTCGACGACGGGCCGGTTGTCATTCACATCCAAGACGTTGATGCGGCATGTTATAGCATTGGAGCGCGATACAGTTCCGCCGTCGGACACGTTGACGTCAATCCAGTACTGCTCTATCCCCTCATAGTCCAGGGTTCCATCCAGCAGCACCCAGCCGTTGGACGAGTTGAGTGAGAACTCATTCTGTGGACGCACGTCTGTGGCCGTGAAGAGCAGAATGCCATCGCTGCCAAAGTCGGCATCGCTTGCATCCACCTGTAGAACTTGATTGCCCAAAGGAAAGTTCTCCACCACGCTGACGTTGCATGCACTGTTGAAAATCGGCCCGTTGTCGTTTAACGATATAACGGTCACCGATACAGACACACTGCTGCTCATCTTGCTGCTGACGTTGGTCGTGTCCACAACCCACACGTCAAAGTTCCTCACAAAGCTGCTGTCGGGTTCGGAGAGGTTGCTGCGGTAGGTGATTTGTCGCAGGGCGCGCTGATAGGCGTCGGTTGAATCCTTGCCACTGATTGTGACTCTGGCCAAGCCAGTATCAATGTCAAACAGCAGCCCGACGGGCAAATTCTGCATCAAATCAAGCACTTCTGTGGAAGGGTCGACAGTGCCTGGATTGGTCAGCTGTACAACAGCATATTGGATGTATGAGTCTGGATCCGTGATGTTCACGGTGTCAGGAATGAGCTGAACTGCAGCAGTTTCTTCTGTGTACGATGTGGAATAGTTAGCGTGTGGGTCATTCAGTTCAATCACTGGTGGGTCGTCAAAACCCAGGAAAAATATTGCGGCCGTTCGTGTGACGGAAGCTCTGCCAAAGTTGTCATAGACATTCAGCGTAAGATTGCGGAAGCCAGTCGTCGTGTTTCTGTCCGTTTCTGTGTGCTGCCATCTTAGCGTGCTCAGCACCCTTACGTATTCCGCAATGCTATCCTCGCCAACTAAATACAGGCGGCCAGATCCATCGGCTCTGTCCACGCGCTCAATTTTGGAACTAGAAACCGCGGCATCATCCAAGAGAAGCCGCTCGAACTTGCCATCCAGCGGTGTAAAGTTGATCTCCGCCTGCTCCAAAGTCATACTATCACTGTCCGTGACTAGCAGTTCCGTCAATACATTGATGGGACCGCCAAGATCCACCGCACGCAACATTATGTCATTGCCCGCTGCTGTCGAATTGAGATCAACAAAAGGCGCATCGTTCGTCTTCGTCACTGTCACGGATGAAATCGATACTGGTCTGTTTGTATAAGGATTGTTGTTAGACAAGCTAAACTGGATCTTTCGAACGCCGGCAGTCGGTTCTTCCTCCAGGTTTTGATAGCGAATAGCTTGAGCAATGCTAGTCCACTGTTCAATGGTGTTGCTAGCAGTACCGGTCATCCGCAGTGACCGTGTGGATGCTCCAGCCATTGTGATTCCAGCAGGTAGCTGCATGGCCACCACCAGACCCTCGTTGTCATTGGTCACTGTCACTATGGTTACGTTGAATTCGGTGATGTAGATCACCAGGTTGGGGATTTCCCCGGCTTTGACCACCGGCAGGCTAGTTGCAACATCGCTGGCCACCGGAATGGAGCCGCTTTCACCCTCGATCCACTCTGTCTCGTAATATATACCTGGTCGGTTCTGTCCGTTGAGATCAATAGATGGTCGGTAGCTACGAGGTACATTGTCATACAGCAGTTCTATAGTGGCATTGTCGCTCGTCTGCTGAGTGTCCGTTACCTACACAGTTTCAGGAAACACACACACACACACACACACACACACACACACACACACACACACACACACACACACACACACACACACACACACACACACACACACACACACATGCACACACACACACACACATGCACACACACACATGCACACACACACACATGCACACACACACACACACACACACACACACACACACACACACACACACACACACAGAAATATAAACACCGACATGGAGATATGAACAGCAGAAAACACGGCCTCGCGATACGGTGTGGGCTATACTCCGTTTCAAGGATTATCATTCTGCACCGCCTACTGGAAACAGCAAGGTTTAGGTTCAGCAGCTATCACATGTTCCGTGCTATTCTGACAAGATCAAGGAGCATCATCATTCAAGAACAATGGTAAGTGAGTGAGCTTTTTTCAGAACTTTTAAGCTCCATTGTAACCTTGTCATTTTTTCACTACGCCTCCAACTCTCAACACACAAAGTCCCCGGTCACAGCACGTACAACGATTGTTTCCGAAGTTTTACCCAGGAGGGCATCCACAGGGAGTGAGCATTGCTCAGGGTAACCAAACACAACTATCTGTGTACTTACGGCGATGTCGAGAACCCGGGAGGTGGGTGGTCTCTCACTTGTGGAGAACTGTACCGAGTTGAGAAACTCTTCCATTTGTCCAGCCGGTGCACTGCCAACAATGTTGAGCTCTCGTGTGCGACGTGTGAACACAACTGACGTAATGCCAAACGGCAGAACTCCCAGCGAGAATGACAGCACGTCACCACAGCTGAGCAGGCAATCTCTCTCCGCAGCCGTAGCCAGCTTGCTTTTCCAGAATGCTAGCTGTGAGACCATACCAACAAAGTGATGTGCAGTGCTGCCAGGACGGCCTCCAACCTGAGCGATGGTTCCAGAGCTTGGATCCGCAACTGGTGGTGGCAACGTTGACGGCGTGGTGCTGCTGTAGCGGATTCGCGTTGGTTGGCTGAAGAAGAAGTCATCAAACTTGAGTTGTATGGATGTCGGGCTCACAGGCGCACTGCCATCCAATGACACCGTCAACACAATGAAATGCCACTCATTGTCGGCAGCCAATAGGTCATTGGCTCCCAGGTCGAAGTACACATAGACCGGACGCCCTTCACCAGACTCCGCACTGTGGTACGTGAACAGAATCTGATTTGAGCCTCTCAGCGCAGCCAGTGCCTGGTAGCGTATTCCACTGTCCGCAGCATTCGCGTGCACAAAGAAATACTGGAAGCCGCCACCACCACTGTCTCTCTGTAGTATCCAGGCGGAGATTGTGAAGCTGTGTCCCAGCGGCAGCAGAGCGCTAACGTTGACAAATGCATACTGCTGGTCGGTCAGCGATACAACCTTGTTGTCAGTGGCGGCTACGACTGGTGTACCACTCCCAGTGGTCCAGTCAGTGAAGACGGTGATTGCTGTTGCCGGGGAGACTGCGCACACTTCAAACGCGTCCTGTGTTGCATTGTCGCTGCAGAAACCGTAGGCCAGGGGGTAGTGGAACTGCACAAGCAGAAGAGAGGAGAATAGAACAGAGTATCGCACAACGGTGAAGATTTTTAGAACCTCTGTGTGTGTGTGTGTGTGTGTGTGTGTGTGTGTGTGTGTGTGTGTGTGTGTGTATGTGCGCGTGTGTATGTGTGTGTGTGCGCGCGTGTGCGTGTTTTGATGCAACGCATGCCCAGCATACCTGCACTATGTGAATGCAAGAGCCCAGGGTAAGAACAAAGACGCTGGAGGTTTGAACATTACTAGCCCGAAGCCCCCCCCCCGCTCTCCAGTGCCTAACATTACCATGATTTACTGTACTGTACGACCATAATGGCATCGATGTCACTGTATTAGTTGATGGCATGGTGGTTTGACATGTCACACACGTTTCTGGTCGACAAAGTCACATGAGAGACCAGTTGTTTACGGCTGGCCTATCCACCGACACGGGACCTACCACACAGTGACACTGCACTGACCTCACAGCCCGCACAGTCCGTGACAACTGGACTCTACAGACACTCAGTAGCCTGATCTACCACTCCGTACTACTGCTAGTACACTGCTGGCAACTGAAATCCGACCCCCTGAGCGGTGGGCATGGGTTCACATTCTTTGCGATGTGAGCGCACCGCTGAGGGGGTCGGATTTCAGTTGCCAGCAGTGTGCTATCATGCTGCACTACATGACTGTACTATTGTATTGGTGAGCTGTTGCAGTGTTGGGGACTTTGGGCGCGAGTGCCAGTAAGTGAACATAACAAGACCTATGCGAGCTGATGACAACATTGCCATCTTGTGCCCGGCTAGCAACTCACAATGCTACGTAGACTCGCACTGGCAGCACCAGGAGAAGCTCGACGCATTGCGGTGGCAGTGACAGCGCAGCTGGCATGCCGAATGGCCACACATGGTCCCGTCAAGGGGAATGCTCAATTTACAGACATTGCTGACACATCGCAGCACTGCAGCATACAAGCCATACAGGATTGCAGTCCGGACAAGCAGCTACATCACCAGCATGTACACCTATGTGCCCTTGGTACGCATCTAGTCGACCAAGACTACGGACTCTGGAGCCTACGGGTGAGATCGCCATCTTCACACGACCAGGAAGAATTTTATCTCGTCGCAAAAGCTACAGCTTTGCCTCCGGAATTCAAGAAGGGGCAGGCCAGTCTCTGGCCTGAACATAAATAAACAACTCAACTGGTAAAGATATTTTCAGAGAAGAAAGCAGAGACGAATGCTAGCTATGACGGTCGTTTCAACGAGTTCGCCGCTCGACGTCGAGATCGACTCAGGCTCTGCGCGCAAGGACGACCGTCGCGTCGTCCGCAGTAACGGCGCGGCTCACCGCGGAAAACGAAACCTAAACTGTAAATTTTCGCACCAGCATGTAATTTTTATATCACGTGAGGAGATCCTGAGCTAGCCCCATGCGCACTAGTATTGCTTGGTAGGCAATAGTAAGGACTAAGGTTAGTATGGGCCGGACCTAGCGCTTATCTACCGACCAGATGGCATCTATGACAGAGGCGTGAAATCGGCACTTCCGACTGGGATTGAAGTCCCCAATGCACCTGACTGCGTACTGCACTGACCAGCCTAGTCACATACAGGTCTAACACTAACAGATCTGGAATACCACGTAAATAATAATTCTAATTCGTTGGTGCCATCTTCATTTTGGTTCGTCCATTCATCCTGGCAATAAGTACTTCTTTCGACCAGACGAGACTACACAACGCTCGCAAACACCAGCACGAACTGTTGACCAGCAGCACTCCACGAGAGGAAGTAGTTTCTCGTGATAACTATTACTTGTCTCGTTCCATAACCAAAGAAGATCAGGGGAACCCATCTCGAGAATACTATTTCAACACACTGGTTGAAGATACTGCCGCAAGCACTCGGCTAACTCACACATGTGACAAACTAACACAAACGGAATAGTGTTGAATGGAGGTGTTACTGTTGTGAACCCTGCCAGACACAACTTTCAGAAGTGCTAACTTGCTAAGCCAATCCCAAGGAGAAGGAGAGGTACGCACTAGTAGGATTTGCTATAAACTGACTAAAGTCTGGAGCTGAGCCGCGATGCTGCTCGGAGATTGAATGGGAGTGGTCACCTGACCAGGATGATCGACACCGAGAAAAACGCATGGTAACTAACAAGCACATCGTGCAGTTCATCCCTGGACAAGGACACACATGGCTCTCCTAGGCGATTGAGTACAGTACAGGCCTAAACAAAGCACGAGCAGGCATCACCGATCTTTCTTGCCGTGTGCCATTCGATCAAACCCTTTGCCAACCACCTTAGTGCAGGCACAGCTACTAGTACGATCAGTGCATGCACACACTCTCCAGTCACAAGGCACCACATTTCCGCTTTGCTGTTAGTGTTACCATGGGTTTCATCATGTCCTTAGGCAACCACCAGTCAACTGTTTATGGTAGATCTACCGGGTCTAGTCACCAGGCATCTAGCAATCACAATGCTCAATAACCACTGAGGATCATAATCATCTCGAAGTTAGTGCATCATAAGGGTGAAAACGCAAGGTGTTTTCCAACTATCTGGATGGATTCCGAAGTTCCCAGAATAAGCCATGCAACCTGAAACAGCGCCCTAGACCTGGCTTAGTGGCTATGGACAAATATTCCGCATACCCATCACACTGATTAGACGGATGAGACCAAGGTTACATCTCAGAGCTGATTCATTCCATGATGGCTCACGCCTGATCGCGACTTTCAATTCATAACCAGTGCTGTCTGTACATCGTGGACCGCACACAGACATAGTGCTCGCAGACAATCGGACAGTAAGAACTGCGGACTGCATGCTTCTTGGAGTCCTGCTGCAAGTCTCTAGTAGAGCCCGTGCAGGGTGTGTGCATGCCAGCAGTCAACATAGCGACAACTCCTACGATATACTTCAAGTACATGTATATTATGATTATCTGCCAGTATCACCGCGGTGAGTGAGAGACGATCCTGAGGCTTCCTGTGGGAGTGATAACGCAATCTAGTCCGATGTTTTCGTCAGGCTCACGTCAGCCTCTCCGTTGCCAGCTGACTGGTTCCAAGTGTCGGACAGTCCTGTTGGAACTAATAGTTCCACACTACAGGGTTTACGACCTGGCATTCATGTTGAATACGACGTGCAAATGTATACACCAGGGCTCTCGTGTATGGTGGCTCCGCTATGCTATTGACGATCGTACTACTTCACTCCGGTATGTGGGCAGGACATGGTTGGTCTCACTCGCATGCAGACTGTGGAACAAGGTCAAGGTTGATCAGCCACCTAGTACCTAGGTACCACACCACTAATTATTTCCTAACTTGGCCCATGGCCATGGAGGCGTACACCCTCTTCTCCTGCTGCTCGTACATGTACCGGGAAGGATCGGCTGAGACATGGCATGCTCGGGCACTGCAATACTGCTACGAGCTGCTGGCCATTGGGAAGATTGTACAAGTTCATAACTTTACAGCTGCACGCTGAATACTGAACACCCCGGAAAACCCCCGGACGTTCTGTACATACACTGGATAAAATTCCAAAGAGAACTTTACTCAAATGTATAACATCGGTACGTACAAACACACCACAAGTACTGCAAAACACCACTGCATGGATCCTCTCTAACTCGTCTCCAGGACTGCACGCAAGTTCCATTACAGGTATTTTGACTATGGTCGGGTCAGCCGAACCTTGGAACCCATGATTAATACACACCGAGTCACAGTGTTCATTCAACTAAGTTACTTACCAGATCATAGGTTCGGGTGGTGACTCGAAGGCCGTGGATCTGGTAGAGGATTGTATCAGCATCCTTCAAACGCATGTTCCGAGATACGTCCACGGGTAGCTCATCCTCGTGAAAGGTCAGCGATGGTTCGAGAGCGACCAATCGAGGCTTATTGTCGTCAATATCGCCAACCAGCACATACACACTGGCGTAAGCCGTGTTCGTACCGTCAGATGCAGACACGAACATCTGATACCAGTCGCTCGTCTCACGGTCCATGTGGGCCTGTAATCTTAGCTCGCCAGTGGTTGGGTTCATACTGAAAACTCTTGAGCCTGGAATGAAGTTGTTTGAGGTGGTGTTCACTATGCTGTACGTGATTGCATCGCCATCCGCATCCTCGGCGAACACCCTTACTATCAGCGTATTGATTGTGATGTTCTCGTCTCTTGCACGATAGTACGTGTCCTCGCTGAAAACTGGCGCTGCACAGCTCACTCTATTCACCGTGCCCACCAGCAACACCACCAGCGATACACCCAGTACAGAAGCTGCGCTTAGCGCGCTCCGCCTTCTCAAGTTGGAGCACGCCATGGCCGCCTTGTCCTTTCCTCGCTGAGTTCCCACAGCCGCTGGTCACACGCAACACGGAACACCGGACGATCCAGTACGGAGCAGTGGTGATGGTCTCGTTGGTTGAACCAGTGATTTGTTCTGCCCCTAGCTGCACCACATTCCCTGATGGGGTGGATGAGGCCGACTAGTGCCCTCTCTTTCTACCTACCTACCACCAGCTGGAGGAGAGGTTGGTACGTTCTTGGTTCTGCGATCCTGAATGAAGTTCCACAAGGTGGTGGCGACCTTACACCGTTTCGGTGAAGCAAACCATGGGGAAGGAAGACGGTGGTGACTAATTCACAGCGTCGTTGCTGAAGCTCGGGAATTCTACCACACACCTTCATACAGGAAGCTCCAAGAACTTGTGAAATCAACAAGGATTGCTAACAAGGATTGCTGCGTAGCTCTACATGTACCTGTTTCGCTCGGATTGCGCACGATCAGCTTGCTCCAGCTCTTCCGCATGCATGGTTGACTGGTTGATCATTATACATGTAGTTATCACGATGATGATGACGATGCGTGTGATCGAGCCCTGAATCCGGGCCTGATTATTTGTTATTCGGCGACTCGCACTAGAATGGAACTTGGAGGCGGGCCCATGGTCAGAGTTGGGCAATATGCTCATGTGTGTGTGTGTGTGTGTGTGTGTGTGTGTGTGTGTGTGTGTGTGTGTGTGTGTGTGTGTGTGTGTGTGTATGTGTGTGTGTGTGTGTGTGTGTGTGTGTGTGTGTGTCTGGCGCAGCTATGTGAGACAACACCATACAAAGGCATATCACCTCAGCCTCAGGTGCTCTAACTCACTTCTTGACTCTCGATCTCAGCTGGTAGACCTGAGTGCTCCAGCTCGTATCCTGACAACACACATTCGGTACTCGTTCAGTACTGCTGGATGTGTGTGTGTGCGTGAGTGCGCGCGTGCGTTTTGCACTTCTGCGCCAGCTTGTCATTGCTGAGCCCGGTCCGTGTGGTTCCTGTCATTCTGTCAACACGCGGTGGGTCGGTGACTGTCACTTTCCGGGCACTTTCACGAGGCGTGCACGTAGATCCACTGCGCTGTGCGCTGGACAGTGTATAGTCTGTACTAGGCTGCAGGCTGGGAACAATTTCTAGAAGTACGATTGTCTTGTAGCACAGTACGTTTATGCTCTCTGATTGTTGATCTACTTGACCAGCGCACGGTGTGCACATGTACATCTCGAGGCTCCTCCTCTCCACCAGCTCAGATGATGAGGCGAGCAGCACGTGAAGTGCAGACTTGTTGACATGCGCAGCGACATCAGACCACCGCTGGTACCCAGCTAACACCACGGCTAGAAATTTGCCACATTCTTGTGAAGTCTGCGCGCCTGTCAAGCATCGCACCATGACATTCCATTCGCGTCGCAGTGCCGAAAAAGTCTCTCGTTCGACTTCGAGTCTGGTGAATGACTACTTGGTAGTGCAGTCTTGTAGGACAATGTGCACAAGTTACTTGTGGTGCATGTTGACATGTCGCAGACAGACAGTAAAATTAATGGTGCCTGGTACATGGTCTGTGTCGACTCGGGGAAGGAACTGAATACTTCTTCTGTGTGCAATAACCAAGTAAGAAGGCTTAGTACTGATACAAGTGCACGTATAACGGTGCCATAACTTGCATAAGAGGAGCATTGGTAAGTTCTATTGTGCTGGTAACAGGTACCAGAGACAGTCAGCATAAAACAGTGGCAGCTTTGGACTTGACCCTCGACTCACTGAGCCATCAATCTTTGTGCCACAATGCTACTCTTCCAGTTTGTGTGTCATGACAAGCAGTCTCTCATCATCATAGACACCATGGCCGGGGTGGTCATCATGTCCCGTGCACCCTTCCCCCTGCCCTACCAAAAGCAATTACTTAGCATGCACATTGCATAAGGTATTGAGATCTACCAGTTCTACTTTTTGAAGTAATTGTTGGCTGACTGCCGCCTACTAGTATGTAAA